CTTGAACATTATACATAAAATAACTAAATTGTATTATTACCATTAGTTTCATACAGTATACTGATATTTAATGATGAATATTCACACTAGCTCTTATTCAGAGCATGCAACATCAATTTCATTAGTTAGCAGACAGAACACCACAAAATTTGTGAAGGTTCCTTTTATCTGGCTTGAGGAAAGATGGCGATGGCCACAAATAGATACACCCCAAATAGCTCTCCTTGAACTGACATTTCTTTCAACTAATTCGGCACCATAAATCCCATCAGATTAAGTGCTGCTGTGACATAAGATTCCATACTGCAGGCTTTGTAATACATTTCTTTCTGGTAAAGATTAGAAAAGAGCAGTCACTAAGAAAAACAGGCAAACTTCAGTCCGCAGGGTGCGAACATTTGCAAAACAAAAAAAACTAAAACAAAAATTAGAATTTGCAAATTAAGTTTTCTGGGTTATAACTAAAACATTAGGAATGGTGCAGCACATGCCAAAACAGTACAAAGTAACACTGTTGATCAAAATAAACCTAGTCAAATAAACATTAATAGCTTATAGCAGTAAAACCAGCAATGGAGAAGTTAACAGGATAATTTAGATGCATAATGTTAGTCCAAAGAAAGGATTTAAGTAGTATTATCATTAATCACACTGATCAGGGAAAAATGATATTAGTAGTTTTTCTAAGATCCAGGAAGAACTCCTGAAATACCTTCTGAAAAACCATGTAGACTGCATTGCTACAGGGGTTGCATACTTACATTGTGAGCACCTTAACCTCGATGATTTCCTGCCTGAACTCCCTGCATGTCGTGGAGTTGAAATCATAAGGACCATCATACAGCTCAATATACCTGCAGAAAAAATACATTTAGTCTAATGCTGTCCTTTCAGTGGGCTGTATTTAATGACTGCTTATGATTGAAGGCACTAATCATTTTGAGGGTCTATTAAAATACAGGGTCCTCATCTTCTTCTGATGTTATTTTTGCTCCTTAATATAAATGGAACAAAAACACAGAACATTTTGTTGAACATTAAAGGAACATGGTGTAAAGACACTATGGTGGGGGGTGGAGGTACAAAAAAACTAAAATAATAAACACCAGGCGTGTAAGGATTCATGGGTTTTATGGATAAAACACATCTTGTACCATCATTAATAACTGACAGAGTGCATTTCATTGTTTAATTCTTTAGGCAATGTCTGAGAAAGTTGATGTTCAGTGGCATACGAAATTCACACAGAAAGAAATGAAGACAACAGATGCAAAAACAAATCAAGAACACAGCTGTAGCTAACAATCCGGTAGCTCAAGGCAACAGCATTCTTAAGCACAAGGCGAATGCATCATAACTGCATCATGCATGTACGAACAAAAAAATTACTGAATTAAGATTCAAAATTACAAAGAATAACCTAAAGGTAATTCAGTTTTATACTTGCTTTTGTGCATCTCTCAATGTCTCTTAACATTCTCTTAATGTTGTTGCAAACAATAACACATACACATGCATACACTTACATGCATCAGTTTCACTAATATATTGCGTAGTAATCCTAAAAAAAAATCTACAAATTATCTAATACTGTACCACCTAGTGGGTCTTCAGAATTTGCGACTTACACATTTTCAGGGTAAATATTACAGAATGACTCAATCACAACATGCAGAAAGGCATAAAGTAGACTTGTTTACCACAAGAGAGAATACACTCAGTAATAAATTCTAATGATAATAATAATTCTATGATTTGTTTTTTGTAATTACCAAAAATGCTATCTGGCAGTTTTAAATCGGTGTCATCATAATTATGTCTGCAATCATTCATTTCTAGTATACTCAGGGCATCCTATTTTTTTCCAGTTTTTCTTCAGAACATATTTCACATTCTTTTCCCAACGTATGATCCCTCCAAGACTGGGAGAAAATCTAGCTGTTGGTGTGTAACGCTAAATACATTACTTTTATGTCCAACTAAACATAATGGGTGTGTAAACAAGCTTTTGCTACCTAATTATATCGATCATGACAAAGTGGGACAAGACTATAAGGAAGATTGGAGGCCTTTGGGCAAGTGGCCAGATACACCATCCCAAGATAGGCTGAGGGCAAGGAAACAGTGCACTGCCTCTCATTGAACTGAAGCCATGAGTCATACCATACGGGGACAAAATGACCCCGACATTGTGTGCATGTTCTTCCTGGGAAGGTCACCAAAGTAGTTACACATTCTGTTTAAAATTTCTAGCGGCGTTTTAAATTGGATTTCACATGCTTTAAGGGGTAATTCACCAAAAAACTACGGTTTAGATAATTTGCCTTACCCAGCTTACCTTCTGTCATGCTTTGAGTCATCCCTGGCACATCTGACCTTGGCACAATTCATTCAGCCAGATGGATGTCCACTACTTGCATGGCATTCATGTTACCGTATTCTATATTCTTGCAACTCCTACACTGAACCTCCATTTTGAGTGCAGTGAGAGACATTTCAAAATGTTCAGTTTTACCACAGAAAGACTGTGGCATTATAACAATAGCCAGTGTAAGGCAGTAAACTTCTGTGCAACATAAACTGCAATAAGTAGTTATGTACATGTTTTAAATTAGTTGCTAGTAGAGCTTTTCAGAATCTGTAGTTGGGAAATATGTGATTCAAATCCATGTAAATAGCTGAATGTTCTATTGATGAAACATATGTAATAAAACATTTTGTCAATTCATAATCAGCTGAAGTATGGCATTTTTAACTAACAAAAAGACTTTTTTGGTGACATCCCCCATTACAGTGAAATTCCTCTTTAGATTCCTTTGGACCTGTATCCTAAATTTGCTAGATTTTACCAATTACAGTAAAAGATCTCGCATCCGGCAATGTTGGGACAGAGGTCAATGTTACTTTTGAAGTGTAACACATTTCTTTCACTTATTTTAATCCTTATATACACACAGTAATGATTACTATACTGTTATCTTAACATGCTGCAATGTCACTCACACAAGAGATTGCAAGGTAAATAAATTTAAGTAGAAAGACTACCAAGGCATGCCACTCTGTAGGCATGTGCAATGCTTTGCTTTGTTGAGTTAGTGAACAATTTATTAGAGTTATGTTATTACTTATTATTATGATTTTTTATGTAGTCTTATTTTTTATTTTGCCATTTACTTGAATGTCGGATACGAGAGCTTTTAGCATAAAACAGAAAATCAAGTATAATTACAATCTCTTGGATTTTGCCCTTGAAGACTAACTAAATTAATGGTTTGTATGTTTGGCAGCAACATTCAAAACTCCCTCAGATCAGTTTCTGTGGGTTGTATATTGCTGCAAGTGAATAATCAGCCTAATATTCCATTTCAGTCAGGTATAGGCTCACTGCTAGTTTCGCTAATTAGTGCAACGCATCAGCAAGAGAAGCTTTGTGGTTAAAAGGTTCCTACAGTATGAAAGCCTTTAGAGCCATATGTGGGTTCTTTTCCTTCCAGGAAACCAAAGAAGATGGTACTTTGTGAGCATCTGGAAGAGTTTATTGACTAGTGGATCTGCCATATCCCACAGTCTTGAAAAAGGAAATGAAAAAGGAAAAGGTTCGGCACTGAAAGCCCCGCACTTCGAGGAGAATTCAAACTCAGTCAGCCATCTGGTGGATGCCACAACACAACCTCAGTTCCATCAATGGCCTCTTTACATGTTGTAATAATGGATTTAGCTAGACACTGACTGATGACATTATGACAGACATTTGTGATGTTTTCTTGATGGACTGAGTCGATGGGATTTAATCTTGTAGTGAACTGAAAACCCACAAAATAATTTAAACAAAATAATTTGTTTACCAAACAGGGCTGAAAATGTTTTTCTCCTTTATTTGATCAAATTGAAAATGAAGAAATACCACAGTCATAGTGAGATAGCTTTTATCAAGGAGCTTAGTGTTGTTTTATAAAAAAATTTATTGGGAATTTAACATGTCAATTTTAGGAAGAAAATATATAAGGTATTTCACAAAGCGGGTTAACGGAGAAAAAAAATGAATCGACCATAGTCAGGTAATTTGTTGCATCAACTTAAGCCTTTTGGGATTCAGGATGACTTTTTATTAAATGCACAACTGTAAAGAAAAGGAACCTCAGACACGTCTCATGGCTCTTTTATTCAAGTTTAGTGAACAAGTCCTTCACTTAGTGGCAACTCCCTTCAGAAGAATTACGGTGCTTATGCTTACAGGGTCTCTTAACAACTTTCAGGAGTAAATTTCCTTCATTTTTTTCATTACTAGGTCGTCATCTAAGGCGTACGACATGTTAGAATGTACAAGTGAAGCTGAGCCATTTCCATAGCTTTCCAGGAACAATCAATAGAAATAAAATGTGATTTTAATTAAATTAATTCTTATGCATTTACACCTCCTCTGTGTGAGTACAACAAACAGCTGAGTCTCTGTGCAACACAGAGCTCATTGGCTTTGAGCTGACAGCATATTGTATGGGGATGCACTGCCCACAGCCTAGTTATGTTTTATTTATTGTCTTTTGTTAACTTTTACATGTTATGTCATCAGCATAACAGCATTAATTTGCAGTCTGTCAGCTGTATTTTATCATTCTGTAAACACTTTCTCTACAAAACTTAAATATGGCAACATTCACTGGATCCATTCAGAAGAGGGACCTCATTCTTTCAAAGAACTAATTTTTTTTCAAAGAACTAATTTTTTTTTCGGATCTCAGCCTAAAGTTAAAACAGGCTGCCTCTGAACACGCTTAAAAAAAATCCCACATAAAAATTCAGTGAATTCTTCAGTTTACCACTAGATTTTGTAATACAGTCACCTTTAGCAAAGCCACTCAGATGCTATACAGATTTCTGCAAAGATTTAGTGTTGATATGCAATGTCAATACTAAAAGCATGCACACTTGTTCTCTGTCACTCAACAAGTCTTGTTTTTAAAAACATTACGTATTAACTTCAGGCTAAAACAGAACTTCTACCTGTAATGGTTAGCTTTCCATAGAGCATTTTTACACATGATAACCAGAAATTCTACGAATTTATCAGCATCCAGATGTCAGGAATTAATATAATTAAAATACATCTGGAAATGAAATAAGGACTAGATTTTAACTACATTGTACTACAGTAAACATGCAGTAAACAATTTTATGATATTACAAATTATTCAATTTCTCTGAAGTTCCCCTTTAAGAATAAGCTGTCTGTCGCTACAGATATATAATCAGGGGTGTTGGAAGGGAATGCAATACCCTGGCACATTACAGGGGCCCGGCACATGACAGGGGCCCTTATATACAAAAACTTATATGTATAATTGGATGGGGGGGGGGGCAAGTTGACATTTCGTCTTGGGCCCCAGAATTTATAAATAAGCCGCAGTGTTTCATGAAACAGACAGTTACAAAATGAGCAGGTGAAAAGGGTTACCCCGCTTTGTGAAACACGTAACAATTTAGTATGAATGTTTTCTTAAAGGTGACATTTCAAAGCCTTGCCATATCTGTAAAAAATAAATGGTTTAATATCTTGGAACGTTTCCTGGGCACTAAAACAGTGTGATTAGGGAGGGAAAAATAACATTGTTAGCTTACTAATCAACAACAAGGCCATTTCAATAAGATAACAGTTTAGTCACTACATTACGGTATATTAATATACAAATGTAACCGGTATTGAACAAAGCATCATTCATTGATTATAATAAGAACATTCAGGTGGAAATAAAATGAGGTGGAATAAAGCACAAAACTGATGTGTAAAACAAACAAATGACACGACAGTCTGGGAAATTTTTCAACAGCACTCATGTTAACAACTAAATTTAAAACCACATGAACACATTTAGTCACTCTGTAAAAGTGAATGTTATTAAAACTAGTTAACTCTATTTAGTTTATCGCTAATTTTGTAGCAGAAATTTTATAAACATTAATAACTGAATTACAAATATTATTAAAGTGCATTCAATATTCAAATATTATATAAATAAATATTCAAATGAAACCAGGGATATCAGCAAGCATTTATTTAGACTAATAAAAAATACATGATGAAGCTAAAGTAAAGCTTTGTTGTTAGTTGAAAGAGGCAGCCACATTACTCATAATTTCCATCACAGTCGGTGTCAATGAGAATCTAAAAAGCATCTATTTGCTGGTCCTCTAAAGGACAACAGTGTTTCATACTGGAATTAATAATCTTTGAACTATTAAAAAACGTAACTGTTATGAGTTAAATCCCCTCTGAAAGTCAGTCTAAAATGATAGATATTTAAATTTCTAAGCATCAAATTTTGCCTCACTGGTCCAGCCTATTGCAGAAAATTTCAGTGGTAGCTAGGAAGGAGAGCTACACACAGGTGTGCAACACATGATATACAATCATGACGAGGTGTTGTTGAAATGTTCAAGATGAGTGAAAGAGAAACAGCACAATGGAAAAACATTAAGAGGAACCCTCCTGAAAGCTGGCTTCTTCAAATGAAGGAGTCGGGTGTTGGGGGTAAGGGGTGGACAGGGGGTGGGCAGGGGGTTGGGGGGGGGTCAAGAATCCATTCAGAGACAAAATCAAACAACATGCAATAAAAATCTGCAAAGCCACTGAAAGTATGAGAATTGAACCGTTTCAGACCAGTGAAAAAGAAATTCCTGATTGTACAATCCCTCAAAACTGGCCTACCTTTGCGAGCGGTTTTTTTTCTTCTGAATATCAGCTAGGCAGGGAGCGATAATAATGGAGTTGATTGATTCTGTCTGACGCTGAAAATTCTGACGGAAACATCTGTCAACATGCAGACAGGTAAGTTAGCATCAAACTTGTTGAGCTTTGTGATGCCTCTGCTCCGTTCTAATACTGAAATTGTGTACAATTTCATTTTATAGCAAATAATATGCTCTTAGTTTTTTGGTGTCTGTGTTATATATCAAAAACAAAATGATGGGGAAAAAATGTGCATCAGCAAGATCTTTTATGTGACCGAGGGGAATTATATACGAATGGACCCCAAATCAGCATGCAATCTTGATACCTCTGCAGAAAGATATATAGTAAAAGCCCATCTCATGTTCTCTCTCTATCCCTTTCAGTCAGATGTGCTTGTGTAATCAAACACTTTTGAAATTGTACCTTTTCTTTCCATTTCTGGCAGGCTTCTGTGATCCATCATCCGAGAAAATAACCGGCCCGGTCCAATTTGTCGTTTCGTCTCCTTTGAGTCGGCTAAACTGTTGCCCACTAATAAGAAAATGAGTCAGTTTATTTCGTATTTATCTGCGTTTATGTGTTAAGAATGCAGCACACAGAGATTCAATACATAGTTTCCCCCCTCTTTTATGCTGATTCAATTTCAAACGTTTTTTTTTCAAAGGCTTAAAGAATATTGTTTAAATATACAAATCTGTTTTCATAAAATTTGGTCCTGTATGTTTGGTACCAAACCACAAACTGCATTAAAGAGTGCATTTCTCATTTGTCAGTAGCACACAATACAGTATTGTTCTATTGAGTTTTTCACAATGCACTCAAAAGTAACTTCAATTAGGATGAAGAGAGAAGAGCAGATTGTTATTGAAAAAAGGAATAAGTGATAAATACAGCTGTTATTCAAATAAAAATACAGGGAGCGTTTATGTAATCTTTGAATACTAAATAAACATCTGAATTGCATTTATAACAAAAATACTAAGAGCAAGACCCACACATCATACTAGTATTATTTTTAAAGCACACTTTCCATGGACTCCTAATGATAATAATAAAGCAAAATTATACCATTAGCAGCACATAACAGTCCCTTTGGCACTATGATATCGCGTTCTTTAGTGGGGCATTAAGGGAAAACTTCCTTCTCTAGAATTTGTTTCAAATTCCCTCTTTTCCACTAAAACCTCAGAATTTGATTTATAATCTCTGCCTGTGGTTTGGTGATTAATATTTTAGTCATTAGATTCAAATTAGTTATACATGAAACAATTTTACAAGTATTTAATGAATTATCTCAAAATGATCTACTTGGCCATGTCTTCACTGCAGATACCATTACAGTGTTTGTACAAGCAATCGAAAAAAACCATGATATATATAAAATACTTTTAAGAATTCTGTTTTCCAGAATATTTTAAATGCAACTTGGGCCATAAATTACAGTTATTAAATTACAGCACTGCCTAGTTGACTAAAATTTAAATTAATTAAAAAAGACTTGTTTATGATCAAACATAATTGCAGCACTGTCTCTTTGCAATATACTTCATTTCGGTGAATAGACTGAAATAGTCTTTATGAAATTACTTTCTAAAACCTCAGAGCTAAACAGAGTGGTGACTGGAATATCTATCATAAAAATCTTCCCTAGCTGAATTTATTAACGACATAGTGCCAGAGAGCTTTATAATAAAAGCTCTACATGGAACAATATGAGCCAGTACTTATTACTTATTTATAGTTTTCAAGTCTGAAAGGATTTAATTAAACCAATCAGTTCTTACTGGTTTACAAATGAATATGGGGTCCAATCCAGTGTGCAAAAGCAGAACCAGAATCAGAACCGGCTGCAAGCCCCAATATTAACCCCTAGGTAAAGGGGGACCTAAGTGGGTCTGTACATTTAAATGGAATTAGCTTAATATATAAGGTAATTATAGGGGGCATCCAATAAAATTTAACTAGACAAATATATATTTTTTTCAGTTTTAAGATCAATATGAATTTAGTTAATTTTAGATAATTCAGTGTATTTAGTATTCAAACCATAACAGTAATCATAGTGAAGGCAAAATGGGAAAATGGAGCATTTTAAACAAAATCTCCCCATAATGTGTAACACTAACAAATATTTATTAGGCAGAGATATCACAGATTTGTGTAACAGATACATTCTGCAGCCTTATCAACTTTGAAAGAGAAATTCTTTGTTTTTCCACATAGGTTGTATAAAATATTCATTAAAGACAACAAAGAACAGGTTTTTATTTGGAGATATATTATGAAAATAATTATCAAAATAATGTTTTTGTTAAGTCTTGTTTCCCAAAATCTTCGGTAGTCTTCTAACATAAAATGAAGAAAGTCAGCTGAACATTACTGATACAATATTACACTCAGTTTAATAGAAACACGTTTTTCTGTCAAGGTTCACCATTAATCCCATTACTAGCTGGAGAAATAAAACAAAAAAAATCATCATATATATGGAATTGGACAGAGTAGATTGCTTATTCTTCATCCCAAACAATTACAGCCTTGCTCGGAAAGCGACCAGACTCAGAATTGGCACCTCCTTATCTTTTAATAACGGGTTTGGTTAAACCTAACCATAAAAACATTTTAAACAATAAAAATTGTCTGACTCTGATTCTAAAAAAGAGTTTTCCTAAGACGGCTGATGAAACTAAATGGTAAAATTTGAATTGCATTTTAAAATAAATGGTCTTAGAAAATAAAATACATGACCATTGTGTATATAATCATTTTAAGCATTGTAAATATTAATTGTTGTATAATATTATCCAGTAATATCCAGTGTAACATCCGTTTCCCACATACACCAAGCTTCATGGTCTGCACAGTTTCAATTACTCAACACAAAGAGAACACAGAAGTTCATGTAATGAAATATTATTATGATTAGTAAATGCATTTTAAATTATTTCTAGATGCTGCCTTTCTACAATGAAACCTTGATGATGTTGTTAAATGGATTAAAGTGATGCTTTTGATGGTGTGGAGGGTAAAATGACATTTCATATGCTTACCATGTTTAAAATTACCTGGTTTAAAATGATTATTTTCATCACTTAGTGCATTCCATAAGCAGACACAAATGTACTCTCATCGAAAACATCAACCGAGGCATTAATCCGTAATCATGAATACAGGACTTCAGACAAGAAGTCCAGCTGCTTTTCAGCTTAGTATGAAAGAAGTCGGTTTGGAAGCCTGTTGCACTATTAGAAGATAATTCCCCTCAACACCTCTGTCACCTACTGCAGTGTTTCTCCACCCGGTCCCTGGGGACCGCCAGACGGTCCACGTTTTTGCTCCCTCCCAGCTCTGTGGACTGTCTGGGGGTCCATGAAGATCTGTTGAGAAACACTAATCTACTAAGTGACTACACAATTATAACCTGCTCTATTAAAAGTATCCCTGTAATGCACAAGATAGTCTATGGAGCGTTATTGAAACAGAAGGAGAGTTGGGCTGGTTGGGAGATTTAATAAGAAGTAAAATGTTAGCCAGACAGAAAAGGTCTCCCTTTATAGTTGAAAGACTTCCAGGGATATAGCTGTAACACTGCACCAGAAATTTAACATTTTCATTTTAAAAGATCAGAAGTGCGTTTGAAGTTATCATTTGAAATTATAATTCTTTACGCTCTATTATATACTAGTTGTCTAATTTATTAAATTATGCACATGAAATTTTCATCTTTAATTGCAAATCTGTGCAAACTGTACTCATATCTTAATTCTATTTAAATTTTATATTGAGATTTGTTTGGTTCAAATTTACTGATATTTTATTTTTTATAGTGTACAATTTTTGAATATGGAATTCAAAGTTTATAGGTTTACAAATTTTTACTCATAAAACTATAGTCAATGCAACTAAGGGCTGAAAATGATTCTCATTACATTTTTGTTCCTACTTTCTCATAGCTGTAGACTGTCAGGATTGAAAATGAAAGTGTCAAAATTACAAAATAAAAAAAAATTGAACATTTCATCACATAGATTTTATTTGATTCTTTGTGCCTGTAACTGTGACTTTGCTTCAAAATGTAACAGGTTGATGTTACATTCATTGCCATAGAAAGCCGTGAGAGAAGCCATTTCGCTCTTCAAAAAATGGAATGGATTCTGGCAGCAAAATAGATGGGAAAGAAAGATCAGCCAATGTTATCAAAATAATGCATGCATTACAAGTCTTCAACTTGTATGTTGTGCTGTATACTGTGTGGACAATGTAATGTGATATATAATTCATGCTTTGAAATCCTTAATCTAGTTTTAATAAAGACAAAGTTTTTGACAGTTTAAAGAATTGTTTAAATTTTTTCAGCTTCTGCAAGCTTAGACTCTGCAAGTAAAAGAAATCGCCTCTTGTAATCAATCCTGAAACTATCCCACAAATGAAAAGTCCAGTGAAGTTAAAAACTTTATGCTGTTTTCATCAAGGAACCAGGGACTAAACTGTCTTCACTTGATAAATTCAATTGATATGGTCCCAATTTCATTCCGAGAATGAATACATCACATATTAACACATAGTAGTTATTCCCCAAAGAAGTTGTTTTGAAAGTATTTCCTCACAAGTTACCACAAGAAACTGCAACTTCTAGGTCAACACAATGAAGCAGGTAAGACGTTAAGGTAGAATATATAAGTCTTACTGGTTATGGACGTACGGAAGAGGAATGCTGGCACTGAGTATCTTGCACTGCATGTCTTGTCATTATGCCCATTTTGCACTTTATGTTGTACAGTATGTTGCATATCATCTGGTCACTGAGGAAATTTCATACATATGTATACTGTCAATGTGTATAAGTTAATATGATGTAGTACATTGCATAACACAGGTGTGAATGGAATACCATGGGGCTTAAGAAGATGATGTTTCATCTGGGATGTATACATCTATATCGATGGGGTGACACTAAAGATCTCTTGAATCTTGAAAACCTGGACTCTTGAATCCACTGGTATGGTGAGGACAGACTATTTAAAGGGATAAAAATAAAATTAGCAACTGTCCACAAGTGGAAAGTAAGGAGAGAAACACGACCGCTAGGAGCGGGTGAAGGGCAGTGGCCTTACCAGTATGCTACCTGGGGTAGGCATTTTGGTGTTACGGATGGGCACCAATGCTCAAAATGGGGGGGGGGGGGGAGGGTTGATAGTGGTAACATTTGGTCTGTCTCTGCTGGGTGGGCAGATGGTTTGGGTGGGTACTGCCTTTGGGTGGGCACTGCCCATCCCTCGCCCAACTGTAGCCTCGCCCCAGAACCTGGAGTAGGCTAGGCATAGACATACTGAACAACATCCACCCAGTATAATGCTCCAGTGACTCAACTAATATAACAACTAAAATATTTTCCACAACATGGAAGGATGACATATTGAGGATTCTTATGATATTTTTTGTGACATTAGTCATTTACATTTATTCATCTGTCCAAAGCAATACCCAATTGAGAAAGCTGGGTCCAGGTTATCAATGAGCAACTCGGAAGCTGAAAGACCCAACAGTGTAATCATTCTGCCATCCACAGGATTAGAACCACCAACCTTCAGATCAGGGGCATAGGGTCCAAACCCACAGACCATCCTCACTTCACTAAGTATTGTGTATCTATACCATATTTGGCTTCCCTATTTGTACAAAATTTCCATCTGATCTCCCATTCTTCGTCTGTTAAATTTCTCATTGTTTTTTCTTTTTCTGTGTTGCGCTGAAGGGACCTATAACCTACTGCCTTGATTACAGATTTTGGGATTACAATTTGGACTTTGTATTTGGATCGACCTTGTGTTGCCTTCACCTGTCCTACAAGAGGCTGCCTGTGTTTCAGATCACAGTTTTGGATTAAGATTTTGGGGAATAAAACCTTTTTGCTTCTGCAGCTAGATCATCTCTCATCATTATATCACAGAACTTACCCCAAATTTCGTTGCACTACCAAGTTATCAATATCCAACAATTAATAAGTAATTTTTACATAACAATCTACCAGCATTAAATTAAGCAATTCACTGCAATTCTGTATGAAAGTTGGATTCTTCAGATAAATCTGTATTTTACAACCTCTAATACATTATATATGAAAGCATTTATCACCTCCTGGCAGATTTTATGATGTTCTCTTTTATTCAGATAATGACATTATTCAAGAAGATAACATACTAGGGTTTGCTTTTACATAATTTTTATATATTACACCGTAGGTTATGCCAAACCTACAAAGACTAATTTGTTAGTTATTAACTACATTAGATTAGTAAATCTCTACTTTATATGTATATTACTGTTTTATCTTTTTCTATGTGTTCAATTCAGCGGTGAAAAAAATGTAAGCATCCTTTTAGCCAGAAACATTTTCAGCTAACATAAGGTCACCTATTTCAGTATCACTAAATTGATTGCTGCCCATCCAAATCTCAGAAATCTTAATATGGGGAGTTCTTCATTGACTTAAGCTACATAACATGAATAATGTATTTTGGAACTAGGTTTAGCCTGTCCACACAAATGGGAAGGTTATTCTGATAATTAACCAGCTAGTTCTGAAATGGCTTGCTTCTTTCCTCTTGCCTTCTTCAAAACATGACCTAATACACACTCAGTATTATTCTTCTACAGTTACCAGATGTCTAAGACATACACTCCTGTATGGGCACTGTCATTTCAGAACACAAAAGAAACAGCCACTGCAATGACTAATAACTGCTAAAGAAATCATGAAAACAAAAGGCCATAGTATATATTTCAATGTTTTATCTCAACACTGGAAACAACACAAGGGATTATCTAGATGATCACTTGAAAATCTGGCAATATGGATTCAGTGTCTTGCTTTACAGCATACTTCAATTTGTTTTCGATGGAAAATACTACATTAATAATTTCACTGCCCAGTTTCAAATGAGGTGACTGTGATTTGTGACATAATTAGCACAAACTGAAAAGCTGATTATCAAAATTCCACAAGTCAGTAGAACATTGAACCACACCTAACAATGATTCTGCCAATAAATTTATACTTTAGATACAGCAGATTCACTGAATCCCTCTATAATTATTAATATGCTGAATCACTCTGGTTCTTAATTCAACCTCACATTCAAAATACAATATTAAATTGTTAACAATAAATTATACATACAAAATTACAACTGAATATACATTTTATCCAGTCAGGCTATAACATACCCATTCTTTATAGGAATAAACACAGTTTATTGATGTACAGTTTACTACGATGAAAGACTACATAATAATTATTGCAAAAACAGTTTCATGAGATACGCTCAATGGCTAATGTGTTAGTCACGGTGATCTTATAAAAATCACATCACTGATGGAAAGGGGCTGAAAGGCTGCATACAGAGTCATGTTCACCGTGGTTGCAGGATTTCCAGAAGGATGCAGCTCTTAGATTGGACACGCCCGACATGGTCTTGAAGTGAATGAGGCCGATCCAGATTGTTTACTACTCCCCATTGTGACCTCATTACACAGCTCTCATCGTCAAGACCGAGGTCTGTAGAGATAGGGGGGGAAGATGGCTCCCGCAAGGCAGACTTCTGCTGCATGCACACGTTGCTTCAAAACCCAACCCGGTGCTCTTTGCCATAAAAGCACATTAGGGTTAAATGTGGCAGTGGAATTTGATAAACCCAGTCTCAAGCAGGACTCTTAAAACCAGATATAAGATGGATAGCTGAAGACAACAGAACTATCCTTTTCAGGGATGATGTCAGTCTTATTCTCAATTAAAAAGCCAACCCAAAGAAGGTGAACTAATCTGAGATAATGATTCTGTTTAAACATCTCTGCTCCTAAATTATACAAGAAATCATTTAAATTAAGAGTAAACAGTTTTGAACTTTAAGTAGCAGCAGTTGATATGACAGTTCCTAATGAGAGACGACACATATAAACATTTTGATAAAATTATTTAGTTCATAAACAAATGTAGCTTGCATTTGGGTTAAGAAAAAGATATTGCCACACCAAACAGCTAATGTAATATTGTATGTTAAAAAATTATATTACTTCCTGCAGTAATATCCAAACACAATTTATAAAATACTCATTACAGTATTGTAACATTTCTTGTGCTAATTGTTTCCAGAACCTTGCGAATTCAATCGTGTTAGAAGCAGCATCCCAAACCAGTGTTATGATGCATGACAAGTCAGAGGTAGCCATTTAAACCAAACATGAAAAACAAACCCATACACATCCTCAGTACACTGCATATTATTCATTCTACTAAAATTAACAACCAATTTAAACATGAATGCAATTGTCATTTTTATATCCCATCTCACATTGTATAATTTGTACAAATATGCGGCAAATTCGTTAGACCGCGTCCATTAAGTTGAAAACTATTCCTTTGTACTGCCAGTATTATTACTAGTAAAATAGTACTAGAATAAAGAAGGCTTTATTCGGTTACTTTGATATAGTGCAATATTAGCTTTTTTAATTAAAACGTATCGTATTAAATCGTTGAAAGAGGTAAAATCTAATAGCAATGAGCTGATACCGACACCGCAATAACTCTGATGAATGCCGTATTTTCATTAGAGAGATATTAAACCGCTTACCTTTTAATGTAGTTTTTGCCATAAAGAATCTGTTGCAGAAGAGTAACCAGTCCGAAAGCACATATAAATATAAAACAAAGAGACCTATTTCCGAGCAAATCTCTAACCGACGGATCGGAGTATCCCATTCTTTAGTGTAGCATCCAGTGACTGAAAATCCAAAAATATGTATTATTTCCTTCAAACCTACGGAAGATTCACACTCGATAAGACGTTCGCTATTTTAAGCGCTCTAAGCAACATCATCCAACGTCTAAGTCTATTTCTAACCCTAACCACGGCAAGGATTCCTTCGGTATATGTCGTACAGCATTGCCATTTAATTCATGTAGACTGCAGATAAAAATCGTCTTGAATTGCAAGAGTCTAGCTGTTTCAACCGCAGAATATAAACCCTTTACCATCTGAAATGCGACACGCAAAAGCCCCGGACAGAAGTCGCATAAGGGTGTAAATACTCTCACTTAAAAGAACGACACATCTCACCAACTGCATGTGTCACCGCCTCCAAGAAACGGGGATGTCTGCTTAATCACTGCGCTGTACGAGCTCCCATAATACACCATGCAGTCTTTCCTGATCAGATTTATTAAATTATTCAAACCGGTCGTTATCATGTGCGCATAACTCCACTTATCAATTAAGGACAAGTATCTGGGAAAAAAAAAATCCTAGGCAAATATATAACGGTTCATAACATCTATTAAACTGCAGCGCAATGCACTATTCATCCATAAGGCTGCGGTCTGGGTGTAAGAACGTCTTTGTAGAGGCGTGTGCTCGGTGCAGAATGTGGAGTCAGCGAGAAAAACAAGGTCACTGTGGCATCTTTCAAGGACGGCCGTGCGCTCATCCATGGGGAAGGCACAGCCGATCGATAGTAAATCATAACCTAATTAAGTGTTCATGGGGAAAATTGTTTACGTTTCATGGAAGCTATAATCGAAAAGAAGCAAGCGTGGAGTCATGTTTATATAAAATGAAGTATAAAATGATCTTATTTCATTTTTTCTTCTGTGTTTATACAAATCTACTGCAAGAAGGGCTGTAACGTATTTTAATTTCACTGCAGTATGCTTAGGAAACAGCACAATATAGAAACTCTTTGTCCTGTCATTATTTAATCTGGATGTAAAAAAATAAAATAAGAAAATAAAAACAGAAAACTTAAAGTAATTAAGCGTCTCTGTCAGGTTTTTGATCCTGTTGTGGGATGAGACATACTTGTAAGAGAAATATATGTATGTAAAATAAGGCATGCTGCAGCTGACCAAAGACTCCCTCGTGCTGTGGCATTGTTCATTAATATTTTCAGCTTTTGCTTTCCCTTTTACAGGGGACCTCTGTTGACTTGTTACAGTAGGATGACATATTTCAATCACCAATATACTTAGTCATGTCATATTTTTATCAACACACCTATTATCGAAAACCATTTGGCAATGTGGGCTCCCAGGAAGCTTGGAGCTTTTGTCAGGGTGTGGGTAAGGAGCATAATGACCAGGGTGACGGTCATTAAACTGAATAACAAACATTAATTTGCATATCACATATTTTTTGAACAGGAATCAAACCCACATTTGCAGCAAAGCCATAGTACTATGGTACATTGCTGTGCCACTAGATCTTTAAGGTTATACCTTTTTTAAAAGCATTATTTAGGTATTTAAAGCTGAGAATTATAATGATTATGTAAGGTTAATAATCATAAAATGGAGCATTCCTTTAACAATCCTTATTTTTTGCTCTGTTTCTATGTACTGTATAATATGTATATCTATGTATAATATATTTCCACCCTACTTATGTATGAAATCTACATATTTCAGAATGAATGTCTTGTGGTTTACCTGAGTTGTAAGATCCCCTTTCTGGATGTACTGGGATGCATCATCAGTGATGCACCTGTGCTCTCCAGCTGTTTTTGGGACTTTCACCATCATACACCCTCACCCAGGTGATCTAGCTGGGGTTGAGATACAAATTTTAAAATGCAGGCAAATCTACAATACAAATACTCTGCCTTGTACCCTGTGCTGCCTGGTATAGGCTCCATGCCCCCATGACCCTGAGCAGGCCAGGCGGTTGGAATGAACGGATGGATGAAACTGAAGTGGCTTTAATAAGAATTTAATTTACTGTTTTGTTAGTGTTGTGTTACATTAGTGAACATTTCATTCAAAAAATTTAATTCAGACAGATCAACGCTTACCATTATTAAGGATAGCAGTTAAATTAGGGTCACATTACCAGGGACGTTACCTTTCAGTGGGTAACATGATTATTATTTTGTTACATTAATCAGTAGTCACTGATTATAATGATCTTTCTCCTGAAAGTATGTGTACAAATGGGTGTACAGATTAATGAGATACTCAGGCATTGTAAGTTCCTCATCCTCCCTGGCAAGATCTTTTATTAGGGTATAAATAACACTTATTTGATCTGCTTGTCTTGTGTGCTGGAAGGACCTTTAAGAAATAGGGAGAAGAATGCATTTATTCCAAACACTAATCAGGGAAGCAGTAGTAGACTATTCAGAGCTATGATAAGTACAAGATTTCAATTATTAGAGGAGAGGTGATGAGAATTCACCTTCATCTAGTGCAGGGGTAGGCAAGCCTGATCCGGGAGTGCGGGTATCCAGCAGGTTTTCCATCCTACCTGGTCTCTGATGAACCACACCTGACCTCAAGCAAATAGTAACTCATCAGGTAGGATAGAAATCCTGCTGGGTACCAGCACTCTAGGATCAGGGTGGCCTACCCCTGATCTAGTGTGTGCTAATTTGCATTACATACTGATTATTAATTTAGGATGCCATGTATTACCCAATTGTTTGTATAGTGCACTTTTTATACTGTTCTGTTGGTAAAGCTGTTATTCTATTGTTTTTTTTTTATTTGCTGCTCTTATCTTGTACTGTCCACTTTCTGCTGTAACGATGCAAGTTTCCCACTTGTGGGACTAATAAAGGATTATCTAATCTAATCTAATCTAATCTAATCTAATCTAATCTAATTATTTGTATATTGAAAAGCAGGACTCATTGAAGAGACAGCTATGTGGACTTTGTTGTGATTTTTATTTATGAGAATTTTTTTATTTATGAGAACATCCAGTTGTAATAACTGAATGTTCTTTTGACCTTATACCAGAACAAAGGCTATTTTATAACTGAAACTTTCATGACTGGACTGTAATACATATATGCATTACGGTACTTTATGACTCTCCAGTAAATGCCTCAATGAGGAAAGTTTTGTACTTGCATTTACTATGATGCCCTCATCAATAAAAGACAAAATGTAATTAATATGTCCACATCAATAACTGTAATATGTGTCAATATCCGTCAAAACATCTGTGCATAATTTAAAATTGTCACAAGCAAAAAAAATGTGGCTGTAGAACATGAATACAATAAACAAAGTGTACATTTCTAACATAAAATCTAGCAAATTTGTTCTTTTAAATATATATGAGCTGCTATTGTAAATTTATTATCTAACGACTAAAGTGCTGCAGAGTTAATGTTAGTTACACTAGCCTATTTTAACGAAGTTGTGAAACTCGGGTTTCATTTATTGTTACACCGGAAGAACTCCATGCACATTTAACGCAACACCAGCTATATTTCCGGCCTCTATCGTGTCCGCCTTGAAAGCAAGATGGTAAGTTATAGAAAGCGGGCAGTGGAAACATCTAAAAACATCGATTTTTCTGATGAATTTTAATTAAAATATACTTGATGTATTGTAAGATTTTAATATCATTATGTCGTCATTCTTGATATTGGGTAGTGCATAGTTTGCGTCGCTGTTTAAATCTTTTGTTAACATTTAGTCCATTTGTACGTGGTAAAACGGTAAAAACTAATTCTTAGTGCAGCTTAAGGTTATGTTGATTCTTTTTAATCAGGGAATCGTTATATGCAGCTGAATTGAAAATTACTGTACAAGTGGACAAAATTCCATCGGGTAGTTTCATATGTGTAAGCTAATGATTAGCCTGTTTGCTAGCACACGGACGTTGCTGGTAATGTACGTTTGTATGCCTGGAAAAGAAGGCCTGCCACCTCAAACCCGTTCGACAGTTGTCTTGTCAATGATGTATTAAAAACAAATGTCTGAACAGATGAGTTCCAGTGATTTCTACTTTTATCCTGAGACAAGACCAAGGCATCGTTAACATACTGTGCTGAAGGCGTGTGTACTCGGTTTACTGAGTTGTTCTCCGTTTCCAGACGAAAGGAACGTCGTCATTCGGGAAGCGCCGCAACAAGACGCACACGCTGTGCCGCCGCTGCGGCTCCAAGGCGTATCACCTGCAGAAGTCCACCTGCGGCAAGTGTGGATACCCCGCCAAGCGCAAGAGAAAGTGTGAGTGTCGATGGTGTCTGTTGGCTTACATCGAAATATATATGCAATGGAACCATTGCTCTGGAAAGCTTAAAGGCAGGCCGATTCTTCTCAGTGCCTTTAGTGTTAGTTTTGGTGGTGCTTGATAGATACAGGGCATGGGGGGTTTCTATCTTGTGGTGCTGCGTTTGTAAGGTAAATTTCTCCCAATCTAGACAACTGGAGCGCTAAGGCCAAGAGGCGCAATACCACCGGAACAGGACGCATGAGGCACCTGAAGGTGGTCTACCGCAGGTTCAGGTGAGCGCATTTCTATGGTTCTAGGTTTTACTTTAGTCCATCTCTACTGGTGGATATCTTTAGAAGAAAAGTTCAGTGCCTCATTTTCTGTTGCTGGAACTGAGTCTGTCAGGTATGAAGTTAATGTGTTTCTAAAAACCTGTGACTTCATTTTTGATATTGCGAAAATAGTCTTAAAGATTTGTCACAAATTACATTTTGTATTTCAGTTGCTCTGTGTTCTTGGGCATATTTTACAGGAAATGGGCTGATGTGTTCACTGTTTTTTTTTTTTCCTGGCAGTGTGCAGTTAATTAGGGACACATTTCAGTTACTGTGTTAAGGGGATTGCACTCCACCTTCATATGGTGCTGCTTCGTGCTATATAAGCTCAAATGTTTGCGCATTCTGCTATCAAGTCCTTAGTATGAATACTGCAGAGTAATGGGCAAACGTCTGAGCAGATAAGTTTAGCTGTGATGATTCTTGTCTCAATGATTTCCAGCACAGTAAAAGTATAATGGTTTATCAAGGTACTGTTAGTATTAGTGTTCTTAGATCTTATTTTCCTCTTTCCTCAGAAATGGATTCCGTGAAGGAACAACTCCCAAACCCAAAAGAGCAGCAGTGGCTGCCTCCAGCTCATCTTAGACGTTTTGTTTAAAATAAATGTGCTGAAAATTAACCCACCGTGTCTCTATCCCTCTTCTAAACACCTAACAAATCACATAAAGTTATATCCGTTAGTCTAAAATGCAAGATAGATCTATGTGTATGTGGCCTTTGAAATTGGGTGTAAGAGGAATGAATGGTAACATTGCATTACACGCTAATGCCCTGTTTACAGCCACACACTGCTGTACAGTGATGTTACTATGGGCATGTTTATGTTGAGGTAATCTGGTCTGCATTGAGCATCCTTTTTTATGTGTATTTACTTAACCTTTTAAAGGTTACAATGTGCTTATGCAGGAGTTGGCGGAGATGACAGGGACCATCAATTGTTGGTTTTGTAACTATACACCCTACATGGAAGTTAGCCAACCATAAGTCTAATCAATATAAATAGTATGTTTTACTGGGAAATATGCAGGGTTTAGTTTTCATAAGATGCTAAGTTTTAGTGTTAAGGGTGTTTTACATTTATTGGTATTTAGATTTGACTTTATGTCGATTTGAGAGGCTGCTGGACGAGTCCTAAATGAGGCACATTACCTGCATTGTGAGGGAGCGTCAGTTACAGCACTACAGCCATGTGGCGCGTTTCCCTGAGGGTGATCTGGCTCACAGGATCCATGAGGCTGAGGACCCGAGAGGCTGGACCAGGTAAAGGGGATGACCACGTAACACCTGGCTGAGTAGATAGATGGTCATTTGTGGAGGGTGGGACTGGACCGTGTGTCTTCTTGGGGGGTCACCAGCTGGGATCCTAAGATGTTTCATTATGTACTGAATGGCAACATGCTGCATCAGTGCATGCATTCTGCATCAGTGCATTCTCCCTGTATGTAGTGAACCCCCTCCCCGATTCTCCCCCCAAAAAATGCACTTACTTGTTTTGAACAGTTTGTGGAATTACATATTACTCCAGTAAACAGCTGCTTTTATCCAAAGCAAGATACAAGTGAGGCAAATGGCCCATTACGAGCACATGCTGAGCACCAGTTGAGCATAAATAGTCACAGTCACAGAGTATTCAACTGCTTGGTAGAAACAAAATCTTGGTACAGATTTTTGGCTTCTACTCCTGAAATGCCCAACACTGGATTTTAGGAACCCTTGTTGCTTGTGTAACCACTCAAGTGAACACTTCTATAATAGTACATACGTATTGCTTTAAGTGCCGTAGACCAGCAGAGCATCTGGGTGCTGCGCATTGTTTTCCTTGACGGTGCATGGATTACATTGTTTACATGTACTGCGTTTGTTTGGACGATTGGTACTATTTTAATGTATCCAATTAATGAAAAATAGTGATATATATATATATATATATTACTTGGTCATAAAGTGGTTTAATTTTTAGACTTCATTTGATAATAATCCTTTGATTATGTTGAGTTGGTGTGGGGCTCAGTGGGTCTGGACTCTGTTTATGATCAGAAGGTCACCGGTTCAGATCCTAAGGCTGGCAGACTGGTGGCGCTGTTGAGCCCCTGAGCAAGGCCCTTAACCCCCAGCTCCAGGGGCACTGCATGCTGGCTGACCCTTCGCTGGGACCCCCAAGCTTGCTATCACCTGTATACAGTCATGTGAAAAAATTAGGACACCCCATTAAATATTTAGCTGTTTATTATGAAATGTCAACATAACAGTACTAAATCTTCTTTATCTGTAAAGGTGATGTAATTGCATCATCTATGCAAAAACAAGAAACAAATTCACTTATTTACGAAAAGAAATTAACTAAAATGCTAATTTCCACTGAGGAAAAAGTTAGGACACCCTCACATTCATCACTATTAGAAATTCCTAGAATTAGATTCAGATGGCACCATATCAAGTTAAAATGATTAGAACATCGGTACAGAGCTTTTTGGTGAAGTCTTATTTAAACCACAGACATTTAGTTTGGTTTGCTCTTGATTGTTGAAATGAGTGGGATCACCATGGTGAGATGCAAAGAGCTCTCTGAGGCCTTTAGAAAGAAGCTTGTAGATGCATATGAGTCTGAGAAGGATATAAAGTGATCTCAAGAGAGTTTGGAATCAGTCATTCCACTGTCTGGAGAATAATTTACAAGTGGAGAACATTTAAAATGACTGCCAGTATGGCCAGGGCAGGCTGTCCTAGGAAGTTTAGCCCAAAAGCAGGCCACAAGATGCTGAAATAAGTCTCCAAAAATCCTAAAATGTCATTCAGGAAGCTCTTGCCAAAGTTGATGTCAAGGTACATGCATCTGCCATCAGAAAGAGACGCACAAGTTTGATTTACATTGGAGCTGTGCAAGGAAGAAACCCTTGCTGTCTGGGGAAAAACTGAAGTTTGCCAGAGACCCACCTAGACAAAGACTGGGACTTTTGGAACAACATGCTTTGGACAGATGAATCTGAATTTTTTTTTGGCCGCAGTAACAGATGACATGTTTGGTGCAGTGGTGGCTTGATGGTTAGGGTAGCGCACGTGTAATTGAAAGATTGCAGGTTCGAATCCCCCACTAGCAAGTCACCACTGAGGTACCCTGAGCAAGGTACCGTCCCCAAGCACTGCTCCCCGGGCGCTGAATTAGCTGCCCCCTGCTATGTCACGAAAGTCACATATGGGTCAAATGCAGAGGTCACATTTCGTTGTTGCGCACTGTTCTGTGGTGTGTTGACAATGACCACTGATCACTTAATTCTAATTCTAAACCATAGAAGGCTTTTGAACAAAAGAACTTTATACCAACTGTGAAGCATGGGGGTGGAAATGTCATGGTTTGGGGCTGCTTTGCTGCAGCAGAACCTGGCCAGCTCACCATCATAGAATCCACTATGAATTCTTCATCTTATCAGAGGGTGCTTGAGGACAATGTGAAAACATCTGTCCAGAAGTTGAACTTGAAGTGGGGGTGGACCATGCAAACGACAATGACCCAAATCATTACAGTAAATCTACCAAGGAATGGCTTACAAGAAAGAAATGGAAGGTTCTGGAATGGTCAAGTCAAAGTCTGGATCTGAATCCTATTGAGATGCTGTGGGGTGATTTGAAGCAGAAGTGCATGCAAGACACCCTTCAAACATCATACAGCTTAAAGAATTCTGCATTGGAGAGTGAGGAAAACTTTCTACTAGTCGATGTCAGAGACTGACAGATGGTTATAAGAAACGTCTCATTGAGGTTATTTCAACCAATGGGGGAAATACTAGCTATTAGGGCACAGGGTGTCCTAACTTCTTCCTCAGTAAGAATTGGCATCTTAGTTAATTTCCTTTGTTAAATAAGTACATTTGTTTCTTGTTTTTGCATAGGTGATGCAATTACATCACCGCTATGTACAGATATCAATCTCAATATTAAATCTACTTTGAAATTATGTTTCTTAATAAAGAATTAAATATTTAATGTGTTTAAGGTGTCCTTATTTTTTCACATGACTGTATGCAGGGCTGGACTGGGACAAAATAAGTGCCCTGGCATTTTTGCTCAGACCGGCCCACCACAATCGGTCGGACACAACCAACAAGTACACCATCCTTGCGGTCATTTTTTTGGCCCGCAACTTCTCCGCACCCCCCTTGCCCTTGCGCTTTTGCTTCTCCATCCTAAATCCACTGATTTCTGGCTCTGAGCCACTGACTGCATCTGACACAAGAAACAGAGGGGGAGGGGTGGAGCCTGTTAAGAGATGATTAGGCCAGCCCAGTATCAGTATGGAAAATTAACCAATGGGCCGCTGTCCCTGCTTTATGGGCCGGTCGTTGGCCAATTAAAAAAAAAAATCATATTATATCGACCAGCCCCCAAGTGCGTCGGCCCACCGGGCATTTGCCCGGTATGCCAGATTACCAGTCCAGCCCTGACTGTATGTGTCTGTGTGTCTCATGGAGAGCAAGATCAGAATCAGCTTTACTGGCCAAGTATGTTTACACATACAAGGAATTTGTCTCCATCTTTTTTCTATCTCAATGTGCACAGGCAGACATGCACATGTTCACAGGAAGTATGTACAGTAGATATAAAAACTGTACGCACCCATGTTAAAATGCAAGGTTTTTGTGATGTTAAATGAGACCGCAACAAATCATTTCAAAACTTTTCCCACCTTTAATGTGATCTATAACATGTACAATTCAATTGAAATACAAACAAGTCTGTTATGGAGAAAAATATAAAAACTAAAAAGCAAACAATAAACTGGTTACATAAATGTGCTCACCCTTAAACTAATACCTTGTTGAAACACCTTTTGATTTAATTACAGCATTTAGTCTTTCTGGGGGGGGGGGACATCTGCCAAGTGTGTTAAAGTGACTCTGATTAATCCTAAATACAGTTTGGCTGTCCTAGCAGGTTTTCCTGACCTTTACTGAGTTGCATCCTGGTTCGCAGAGAGCTCACAAAGCATCAAAGGGCTCTCGTTGTTGAAAGGTATTAGTCAGGAGAAGGGTACAAAAAAATCCACAGCATTAGATTTACCATGGAACACAGTGAAGACAGTCATCCAGGCGCAGCTAAATTTTACAAAAAAAATACATCGTCTCCCAAAAGCATGTGGGAAAATGTTTTATGATCTGATGAAACCAAGGTTGAATTTTTTGGCCACAATTCCAAAAGGAATGTTTGGCACAAAAACAACACTGCACATCACTAAAAGACACCGCACCCACGGAGAAGCATGGTGGTGGCAGCATCAACATGGGGCTGTTATTCTTCAGCTGGAACTGGAGCTTTAGTCAAGGTGGACTTTACCGTTTATACAAGACTAGAAGCATTTTGAGAAGTAATTTCAAGGATATAACAGTGTTTCACATAAAATTCAAACCCTCAGTGTTTTGATCACAATCCAAATCTTTACATATTCACACAAACAAGAGCCACAATAATCAATGGCATTTGTATATTATTATTATTTTTCCGCCAGTAACATGAGGCATAATATGTTTTGATTTGCACTTAATCAGGTTTTAGGCAGTGATTCTAAAAGTGATTCTGAAAGAAGCAACTGGCTAAATCAGTTTTACTATAAAGTTACTAAATTATGCCCAAAATAAAGTGACACTGAATAATAGTGTCAAATATATTATTAGTATATACTAAATTTAATAAATTAACTTGAACTCAAAAATCATGAATTTTTTTCCTACAGTAAAATACAAAATAGAATGTCAGCCTTTCTCAGTTAGGCCAAGAGAGATCATTAACGTTTGATATTTCACAGAAGGACATTAACCTTATGACTACCTAAATTTTCCTTTTTAAACAGTGTACAGCTAGCTGTTTGTAGTGTACAGTATGTTATTTTGGGATATATCTAATAAAATCTAATAAAAAACATTTAAAAAATATTTTATGGGGAGGGGGTAATGGAAATGAAGTAATATTTTGTTCTATTAAGAAGACACTATTTTTACAGCAGGCCTAATCAGGGGACATGTTTTGCAGACATCTGAACTGATGCAGGGCTGCAGTAAATTTCATTCAGGACTTTTCTTCTTTTTAGATGAAAAGCAGAAATGAAGGCTTTGGATCCGCGACCCTGAATAGGAGAAAGCTGTTACAGAAAATGGATGGATGGATGGATGGAAAATTACCACCTTCTCCAGCATTAAAATGTCACCCAGGGTAGTGTTCCACGAACCACGATTTCTTGTTTAGCCGGATAACTTGTTGGATTTAAGGTAGTCTGGCCTAAATGGACTTTATCTTCGTTCACCTACATGTAGCTCACACTACCTTAAATCTGACAAGTTATCCGCCCTTAAGGTTTTTGATAGCACTTTACTTGACAGGGATCAAATCATATAGCATTATACTATAATATATGTATTAATTTATCACAAACTAAGTCTGTTACATATTGATGTTATGTTAATTCATCATTAATTAATGAGTCGTGATGCATGTTTTATCAAAAGCAGTTACTGTTTTTGTTACTATGGCTGTTAATTCTGCAAATCTTTGTAAACTACTGAAGAGACAAGTCATGAATAACACGTTAAATACTGATCTCATGTTAGTTCATCATCAATGAATCGTGACATCATCTCAAGTAGCAACAATACTTGTTCATGATTTGTTCATAATTTGTACTTCAGTAGTAACTGAGTTATTACTAAGTATTTGTGCCCCACCAAGTGTTACCAGATTTGAAGTGTAGGGCGTGCGAGCCTAGCTTATGTAATTACAAGCGCTTCAGGTTTTTTATAGTTTTGTCAGGACAAATAATTACCTACATATTGAAAGAAGTATTAGATATGTTATTAATAACATCTGATTTGGGTGTTTAAACTATGACCATCTAAGATAAACTGTAGAAATGTGACCTCTAGTGGCAAGCAAATGCAATTTAAACTGCAGGATTAGAGTACGTAGCAATTGAGTTTAATAAGTAACTTGTTCCGGTTTCACCTTGATTTAAACTCGAAACTGCAGCTAAGTTAATTACAAAACAGTTGCTCCGTGGACAAATAAATGCATTAGGTCCCACAATATTTCGGAAAAATAAACTTTAATCTTTTTAAGTTAAATCATCTAAAGCGTCTCAAAAATTGAACTCTTCCGGAGTTCTTAAGATGGATGAAAATAACTGATTCGGAATCTGTGTCTACCTTTCCACAATTTAGAAATCGCGCTGAGTAAAAATTTGAAACCGGTCCAGGATCATTTTGCGTGCGCTGCCGCGTCTTTACAGAGTTTCCGTTTATTTATTTACGCTGAGCGCGTACTCGTACTTTTAATTCCTGTCGGTTTGACGTCACTTCCGTCTCGGTGTGTGGTCGCCGCTCTAGGGAGGGCTTCGTCGGGAAGATGGCGACGGATAAACAGAAGCATGAAGGGAGGGTCAAGATTGGCCATTACATTCTTGGGGATACGCTTGGGGTCGGGACGTTTGGGAAAGTTAAAGGTGAGTTAAGCAAGTGGTGTCAATCTGCTCAGGTGCTTAAACGACAGATTGGCTGTCCGCGGAAATGACCCGCTTGTTTGAGTTTCGTTTAGCCTGTTAGCCTACATTTGCTACGACGTAGTGTCGCCCAGGGTGACTTAATCTTAGATAGTCACTCTGAAAACTGTCACCCAGGGGGTGAATTCACAGTACTCCACATGGCTTTCAAAACAAACCTGTAGCAGATGAATCACATGACAGCTGCTGAAATCAAAAGGTTAGGTTTACTTTACGCCAGCTATTTTAGCACAGTGGCACTGCCTTTACTGTCTCGCAGTGGATGTCATGACGGTACCTGTGCTGGGGTTGCGCTTTGGTAGGGCATGTTACATCCCCGTCTAACATGCCACGGCTTACCTATATTGGGTTTTACGTAAACTGGTGTAAGACCTGTCCTTCATTTTGATATCGAGCAGATATCGTCACCAGAGCATTTTAAGAATGTAATTTGCCCACACCAAAACGTTTGAATAATTGCAATTTAAAAGTTTTTAAGATGGCATATTGCAGCTGCAAGCCTTTAGTCATCTGAAACATTTACATTTTCACAAGATAACCAACCACAAGGGCATTGTTTCGTTGTAATTTTGGTAGACCGTTGTCCCTTAAACTATTTATTTAAATGCTATTTCTAAATCATAGACTGATGTGTAAGTAGTTTAGTTTTGCAGTGTTTGTCAAACGGTGTATCGCCAGTGGCTGGTGTAATAATACTTAAGTCTGTTTCATTTTCCTTCTAAAGGTCTGGACGACAGATTTTTGGAGCCAGTTAGGTAGTACAAATGTGGACATTTGCAAGGATATAGAATACATTATCTGGAGAAAATTGGTGGTTTCTGGTTAATTTGGATTTGTAGACACAGCCATGGCTAGACTTATTGATCCCTGGAGCAATCCAGTAAGAGATCATGGGCCTGTGTGTGAGAAAGCTAAAACAGCCGAATACAAGCTTCACAAAGGGGTGTATAATTTAAAAGCAAAATATCAAATATATAAGAGAAGCCAATGATCAGTTTGTGTATAGTGTGGTTATATGCATTGGTGATAACACATTATTTTATTAACTGCTTGCTCTTTGCTGGCTTTTCTTAAAATCAGAAGCATCATTGGTTCTCACATAAACCATTATGCTCATTTTCTCCATGTGTTAGTGCTGGCAACTGCTGTAGTCATGCCAGTCAAAGACATGCATACAGAGAGGAGCTGGGAGTTAGTCATGATACCAAAATTTCAAACTTCCATATCATGCCAAGAAAAGTATTGAAATTCTATACCATTTTTGATATGCACCGTACATGATGTAGCTCGATACAAGTAATTTCAGTTGCAATTTTATTTGCAGTAAAAACTCTACAACCTTTTGTGAAGTCATGTCACTATATTTAAAAAACCATTGCATAGCATTGTCAATCAAAGCATAATAATATTAAGTCCAGTAGTAGCCATTGTAATTGTGCTGTAATCACGTTCAGAGATATTCATGAGTAGGAAATAAACACTATTAAAATTAGTGTTACTTTATAACATTGCAATGCATAATATAACAGATATACATTATTTTTGTATGCCTTCTTTATCTTGCTTCTCAAAGCAGAAACATTTCTAACTATTGCACAACTCTTAAAGTTTGTATTGGAATGATCAACACAACCTCACAAGATTGATATCTCAATGTTTAACTGACTACAAAAAATGTTTGAACCAGTATAAAATGCACGTAGTATCTCTAATAGGCTCATGCAGATTATTATTTCATTAATTCTGAAATAAGATACCTATCTTGCAAAATTGTATTGCGTTGCATGTCGGTCCATTAAATGTTTGGCAAAATTTGTGGTGTTTGCCCGTTTTATCAGTATTGTGTAGTGGCACAATTTGCAAACAGGCCTACATAGGTGTAGGCATATGAATTGGTAGCCAACTAGCCTCAATGGTCAGAGCAACCTGGAAATGCAGGCTGTAGAATATATTCCATGAAAAATATGCTTTGAAACTGTTGTATATATCATAGAATTGATACTTTTGGTACTTTCAATACTTCTGACAGTACTGGTGGGAGTGTAGTATTTGGGTCATTTTGTAATCTTTCATTATCCAGAAAATCCATGCAAGTTTAACTCATCAGTCACAGTTTTATAGTCTGCATATAATGGTTATTTTATTGAAAAAGCATCTTGTGATTTTGATTACTGCAGAAGCTTTTGAATAATTTTAATATGTTGCTGTAATTGTTGTTGTTTTTGTTGTTGATTTGTATTTTCTTAATGTGTTCCTTTAGGGAATGTTAACTGGTTTTTATAAACAAAGCACAAAAAAATAGAATTCTGTCTGTATATTTTTTTGAATATAACGAACTTTAATTATAACAACCATAAATTACAGAATAGTTGCTCTTTGCCCTATTCTGTCTTTGCCCTTTGGTAACAGATTGTTTTATTTTTATATTTGCAACCAAGCAAAATGACTGGTGCATGAGACTTTGTTTTAAACACTAAACTGTAAAATTTGTTTTTTGTAAACTATGAGTTTCAGGTAGTTACATAGTCTCTATACCATATTCCTTGAAAAGAATCGTTTTTGTGTTTTGGAAAAATATAGGGTGTTGCTTTGATAACAAGCCCAAACATTAGTTAACTAGGAAAAAGTTTCCCCTGTCAGGACACGTTTAGAGTAAAAGGCAGCATCTTAGCCTTTCGCTGATCAGGAGTCTTCATTGCTTATGTCAGTGGGCTGCAGTGGATGGTGGTTTAGTAGCTGAGTAAACAAGCACTGGTTCAGAATGTTTGTGTGATTTCGTTTTACAGTGGTTGACCTATGTTAAAAGACAGCTGCTCTGCCCTCAGTGCCATTCCTCATAGCAAGGATTAAACACGCAAAGCATCTGCTGTTGTGCATCGGGCTGAGTCGTCTACATAAATGACACAAGGCTTGATGCAGTAGGGCGGTTCCTGCATACTAATGGTAAGAAACCACAGCAATAAGATCACAGACACCTGGTGGTCATCAGCTTCTCGAGTGTGGTGGCTGCTAAAAATGACAGAGAGAAGGACAAAAGGAAGACAGAACATGATGCAAGTTCCAGTCAGATTCCTCTGTGTTTAAGTGATATATGGTATAGTTATGTTAATCACACATTTTATGTTTTCTAAGCCAGTGGTTCTCAACCAGGAGGCTGTGGCCCATAGAAGGCCTTAGCAAGGATGGGGTGGGGGTGTTTGAAACAGGAAAAACTGACATTGTTTTAGGGCTGGGCAGTAGCATATCATATTTCTGTTATCTATTGATATATTTTCATAGTATGACACAATACTGTTTACATCGATAAACTCTTATCATGTGTTAAAATTAGGACTTTATTAAAGGTTTTTAATAGAAACCCATAGTATTCCTTCCTGGTTGTAATTAACATGAGAGTTTTTGTCATGATCTTACACCTAAGAGATGTGAAGTAACAAAGAAGTACAAATACTTTGTTACTCTAATTTTTTTCAAATTTGAGTAAAGTTGTTGAACAAATGACTTTTTTACTCATACCTTCTGCACGACCATTGTTACCATTGTTAATTTAATACATAGTATTTAAATTCATGTTATTTAGAACTTCAATGATATTAGTTTGTGTAATTGCAGATCATGGTGATTATGTCAGTATTACTTGCATGGCCACTTGTTCCCAGTAGTGTTGTCAGAATACCAAAATGTCAAACTTCAATACGATACAAAGAAAAGTATTGAAATTTAATAGAATGTTCAATACTCAACACAGTATATAATGTAATTCAGTAAAAAAAAAAAAAAATACAATTTTGTTTGCAGTACAACTTTACAACCTTTTGTTAACTCGTGTCACTATATCTAAATAATAGTTTGTACTGCATTGTCAGTCAAAGCATATTTAGTACAATAGCTGCCATTGTAAATGCGCTGTGCTCATGTTTAGACATATTCACAAACAGTAAATAATTAAACTCTATTAAAATTAAATGTTACTTTATATTACTACAATGCATAATAGAACAGATGCACATTACTTTTACATGCCTACTTTATCTTGTGTCTCAAAGCACAAACACTGCCAACAAGAGCATGACTCTAAAAGTTTGTATCTGAATTGTCAAAACAACCTTACAAGATGAAGCCAAACACAACTTGCATGTATAAGTAATTGCAGACTGTTGTCTTAATGCAGAAATGTTTGACTACAAAAAATGTTTTCACCCACAGAAAAAATGCACATCACATTTGTACCTCTACTATAACAGGCAGATTAATATTTTATTCATTTTGAAATAAAATACCCAGCTCCAAAAACTCTTTGTATTACGTTGTGTATCAGTCTCCTAAAAGTTACTTAAATTTGTGGTATTTGCCCCCTTTGTCAGTATTGTGTGGTGGCACAACTTGCATACAGGCTTCCATATGACCTGTGGTTTACCATTTTCATTTGACACAAAGCCAAAGTATTTCCAGATGCGACTGTTGCTGAACTTATTATGGATTTAAACATAGCGGCAAAAGATCTGATGCTTCTGAACTTAACGCCCCATGTGTGTGAATGCACTCTGGTCTAGGCATACACGTTGGTAGCCTGCAAGTCTCAGGGGTCAGAGCGAAGCAGAAGTCCAGGCTGTAGAATCAATACCATAGAAAATTAGTATTGAATCCATTTTATACATCATGCAATTGATACTTTTGATACTTCTGACAGCACCTAGTTCCCAGACTGCTTTTGTGTGTTTACTTGTTAGTAACTTCAAACTTATCAGCTGGTTTTAGTTAATCAGCCCTTGAAACAATCTGATACTGGATTGGTTATTTGCTTGCTGTTTTGTTGTGTACTAGGTGATGCACTATACCAGCTAATACAACATTGACAGTTTACAATGTTAGCCCTTGCACTTAAGTAGTGAAATGTGTAACAAAATGTCCAAACTAAATAGACTCCAAGTTTAGTACTTTCCCTAATTTTACATGGGCAAATACATTGAAAAATGTACTGTAGAGTAATACACACATGTTAAAAGAGTACAATGACTAAAATTCTTATTGTAGTCATTGTTTTCCATATACCAATAACACTTCTGGGGAAGGAAGTATTAAAAAGGTAAAAGTTGGCAAGACATGGTGGCTCAGTGGAACCTCACCTCCAGGGTTTTGGGTTCAACTTTGTCCTGCTGGTTTCCACCAGGTACTCTATTTTCCTCTCACAGTCCATAGCAAAACATCTCTTTTCCACTGTGCCAGGTACCGTACTTTTGGTACTTCAGCAAAGTACCAAAAGTACAGTACTTCAAGGTGTTAGTTTCCCACTGGCATAAAAACCGGTACCAGCGCCGAATAACATAACAGCTCGAGACTGGGTATGTTATATTGAATTTGAAAAATGGCTATGGTGTATTATAGGAATGGAAGGTGTGTGATATTTATACCAGGGTTGGGGCCATTCCGGAATACATTCATCAATTCCAATCCAAATCAGGAAATGAAACTGGTGTTGGAATTTAAATCTCCCTGAAATTTGAATTCAATTCCAATCCTGTTCCCAATATTTTTTTTCAGTCCCAACTCCTGTTCTATTTCCTGATTTGGATTGGAATTTATGAATGCATTCTGAAATGACCCCAACCCTGATTTATACCAACATTGTATGTATGTTTTGTGATCAGTCTGTAGTAAGGGTGTAACAGTACACAAAATTCATGGTTCGGTACAAACCTTGGTTTTGGATTTGTGGTTCAGTGCAATTTCGGTACAGCAGGGAAAACAATTTGTTAGAAAATTATTTATTATTAAAACTACAAACAGTTTGGGATAGTTGTAATCCAAAGGCAATGCATCTGTCAACATGCTTGAATAACAAAACCTGAGTAATAAAGACTCGTACATGCACTTGGATGATATTGCCTTAAATGAGAATGTGTTGGATGCATTTACAGCAACATTTTCGAGTTTGGTATAACAGTGTCGACAGATAGTCTTTGTCTTATCAACTTCTTTCTCTCTCCAGTGTTTTCCAGGGAGTCATTTTTTCAGAGACCAAAATGTTCCCAAGCCGTCGATTATGACTGACTGGTTAGCATTAATCAGAACCAACTCATAGATTACCGTAATGTTTTCCATGTTGTATATCTACTTGTGAATTTAGGTTCTGTTCAATAAATGTATTCATTCATTTCATTGTGCATACTGTACCGAACCAAAAATGATTTACTGTGCCAAACAGCACACCATAAATGTGTTTATTTTCTCATTTAAAATTTGGTGGTTGTTAGCTGTTAGAGATGGTTGTTACCAGCTGTTTTATGCTTGCTTCTGAGCGTGGGACAATTTACTCTGTTGCATGAATGTTACAAACAAAATACCTGCTGCACAAACCAGCAGGAACATCTTTTAGGACAGTGTTGATTTATTTAAACACATTGACATAATTATGATAATGATATTTTAACCTAGTTTACTGAGGAACATAATCATTCCACCTGTGCCACACATTATGGAACGCATTAACCTAGTAAGAGACCAGTTAAGTTTACCAGTAACTCACAGCTGCACTTATTGCATTTATCAGACCCAGGGTGACCTATGTCCTAAATTCTTCTCATAAGGAAATATTTTTTCAGTAGTAGTGTTGTTGCAATTCTTGGCCTTCTATAAAATAAAATGGATGAGGAAACTGTACTGGGAAGATGCATCACGTTTAATTCAAGATCATTGAATCACCTGAAAAACATTTAGGTTCTCTTCATTTTGATTAACTTAAAAATAACTTTAAAATATGCTGAATAGGTATTACTTCAGCAGTCTTTCTTGAAATGTCAGGTAGAGGTCAAAGACCTTCTTTTTCTTAGGCATGTCTTAGCTGATTAATTATTAAAAGGAAAAGTAACAATCAGAAAACAGCATGCCTGGTTAAAATTATTGATTAACATTTACTACTCTTCTGCTTCAAACCATCTTCTCATTTGAAATACTGCTGTATTGTTGGTGATAATTCAGTATTTTTCATCTTGGAATCCTCCTTCTGCTCCCCCCCCCCCCACCTACCTGTAGTTGGGCAGCATGAATTGACGAAGCACCAAGTGGCGGTGAAGATCCTGAACCGACAGAAGATCCGTAGCCTGGACGTCGTGGGAAAGATTCGCAGGGAGATTCAGAATCTTAAGCTCTTCAGGCACCCACATATAATTAAACTGTAAGACACAATGATTTTCATCTTGTAGAAAATCATGTCACCTTCACTATGTGTGTGAAGTTTGCATGTTCTTGCTGTGTTACATGGGTTTCCTCAAGGTACTCCACTTTCCTTCTGCAGTCGAAATTCATGCAAATGGATAATTGTCATCTCTAAATTGCTGAGTGTATGATTGAGTGTATGTATGTGATCCACAGTGTTGATGTCCCATGTCTCAGATTTGTGCCTTATACTTCAGCCTATCCCAGGCCGTCCTGTGACCCTAACCAAAATAAGCAGTTATAAAATATTTTAATGTAGTATATTCCAGAAATGGGGAATGACCCCCTCCAATTTTTTTGGTTTGTGCAGGTACCAAGTAATCAGCACGCCAACAGATATCTTCATGGTGATGGAATATGTTTCTGGAGGCGAACTGTTTGACTATATTTGCAAAAATGGCAAGGTATTGTATCATGTTTTTGCCCGTTGGTGTTGTCTTAATTCTCTTTGAAGATAACTTATTATTTTAGGCATTGTGATTCTGGCACTTTTATTTCCTCAAGTTGCCTGGTTAATGTTGTAAAAGGTATGGGAGCCAAGACCCATTACAATAAATGTTTAACTGTAACAGTTTTGTATTCTTTAAAGATTACTTTATTCAGACATTTACAGTTAACACCTATCATCTTGTTCTGTGTTATTTTTCCTATATTTCCAAGGGTGCACTGCCCTTTGTGTCACCCAAAAATAGTTATGATATATTATGATTCCATTAATACCTTAATACCACACTATTGCCACGGTGATGCATCTTTAAATAATCAGGTGTATGTGGGGAAAAAAACTGAAATGCAAACTGAATAACTTCTGCTGTGGTGTTGCGTCAGCTGGATGAGAAGGAGAGCAGACGTCTGTTCCAGCAGATCATCTCCGCTGTAGACTACTGCCACCGGCACATGGTGGTGCATAGAGACCTCAAACCTGAGAATGTCCTGCTGGATGCTCAGATGAACGCTAAGATTGCTGACTTTGGTGAGAAGCTGTTTCCCTCCCAAATAACATAACAGGCGGACTTAATGTGAAGCAATTGCTAGGCAATATGCATGATACACATACACAACACAGCAGATCAGGTAATAAAAGAGAAAACATATTCTGAGGTATAGGGATAGTGCTTCAATTTACTGATAACATTCACACTTTTCTGCCCAGTTGCACAGCATTCTGATCACGTCACCTTATTAAAGCCTGTATATTTCTTTGAGCTGTTGGAGCACGCTGTCTCCATATTAATTTTACTGTCCCTGTTAAGTATTGCTGGATAAAGAAGAAACAGCCCCGGAAAATGCATTTAAATGGCACCTTTACACGTATATGTTTCCAGCTGAACGGTTAAGTTCCCAGAGTAACAATTTTCACTTTTCATTATTTAGAGTGTGACTAAAATACTAACCTGATGAGGTCCGGAGATGTATACACAATCACTGCATCAATAAGTAGTGACTGGGTTCTACCTCAAACCAGAGATAACACGTATTGCCAGTTGCACAGCATTTCTACAGAATCGTGATTGTGGAAGCTTATTTTGCATAATACAGATCTGCTTTGTCACATGAAATTTCAAAGTTCTGCTTCTTTGAACTTAGTTATTTTTTAACAGTACCTGCAAAATAATGAATTTCCCCCTAATGTAATAATTAATAATGTTATTTTTGATGTGTACTATATTACCTAATGTGACCGTGATTATCATTTATATGAATGTTCACCATGTCTCTTTCAGGTTTGTCAAACATGATGTCAGATGGGGAGTTTTTAAGAACAAGTTGCGGTTCACCAAACTATGCTGCTCCTGAAGTGATTTCAGGAAGGTAATCACCTTATTTACTTTGTAATTGTGAGTTTGTCTCAAGAAAGATGTTGAGAAACACTGGGAACCCCGGGGTGGTGATTCATGTGTTGCCTTTTATGCGGGATGACAAAGTTGTTTGAAAAGTAACTATTGGTGTGGCTGGTACCAAAATGAAAACCAAATGTGAGCATGTGGGACAAGAAGATCACTTGATTTAAGGACTTCTGAATGACAAAACTGAAGACTAATATACACAAATCACTGAGAATGAGGGGCTGGAGGGACGATCAGTGTGAATCATCTCACCTCTCCCTCGTTTTGGGACTCTTATTTTCGTTCCCCCCCAAGATGTCCAGTAATCTGGCTCTCGTTCGTACTGTAGTTTAGGCAATAAAATGGTTTCTAGGAAGAAAATAAGTTTATTGATGGGATTACTAATTACTACTATTAGCCTTCTAGCCATCTACGTGGTATATAGCTTGCCTCTTTGATTATGTTTATTGACTAAAACATAATCACTAAGACTAACACCCCACTTTCTGCACCCAGGCTCTATGCTGGTCCAGAGGTGGACATCTGGAGCAGTGGAGTAATTCTGTATGCTTTGCTTTGTGGGACCCTCCCATTTGACGATGACCATGTGCCAACGTTGTTCAAGAAGATCTGTGATGGGATCTTCTTTACACCACAGTACTTGAATCCTTCAGTGATCAGCCTTCTGAAGCATATGCTGCAGGTTGACCCCATGAAGAGAGCAACAATCAAGGAAATCCGGTGAGCCTGAGAACTCAAGAGTTTAGATGGTGATGTAGATTAAACTCATAGACAATCATTTGTAATCTTGAAATGACCTAATTTGATTCCTATATGTGTGTCTGAAACTTATTTAATTGTTACTCTGGAACTGGTCTCAATTCTTGTTAACATTTTAGCTTGACTGATGAAAAGAGACATAATCTTACATGATAAAATGGCAAGCACAGTCTACTAATTGTTTTTCCTCCTTGTTTTTTTGTCATTTTTTCCTTTTCAAATAAAACAATTCTGTACTCTGGTTTTGATAGGGAGGATGAATGGTTCAAGCAAGACCTGCCAAAATACCTGTTCCCAGAAGATCCATCCTACAGCAACGCCGTGATTGATGATGAAGCCTTAAAGGAAGTTTGTGAGAAGTTTGAATGTACTGAGGAGGAGGTTCTGACGTGTCTGTATAACCGGAACCACCAGGACCCATTGGCGGTGGCGTACCATCTCATCATAGACAATCGGCGCATCATGAGCGAGGCAAAGGATTTCTACCTGGCCAGTAGCCCTCCCGAGTCCTTCCTGGATGAGCACCAGCTGTCCGCCACAAAGCCCCACCCTGAACGGGTGCCATTCCTGGTGGCTGAGGTGCTGCCCAGGCCGCGGCACACCCTCGACGAGTTAAATCCTCAGAAGTCGAAGCACCAGGGAGTTCGCAGAGCCAAGTGGCACCTGGGCATCCGGAGCCAAAGCCGGCCGAATGACATCATGTCGGAGGTGTGCCGGGCCATGAAGCAGCTGGACTATGAGTGGAAGGTGAATGATTCAAATGTGGAAATATGCCAATTTATGAATGAATGTCACATGATTAAAACATCTGCCATTCAGCTATGGTTTAATTCCTTTTGTAGGTCTTATCTAAGAATACTGTTATGTTATGTGTTTCTTAAGGACAAGAAATGCTGGGCTTTGTCTCTAGAATTTTGCATTAATCATTTATTACTTTCTCATCATGTGGTATCTGTAAATCATGGATGGTGTGTATACTTCCGGATTATATTTTCAAGGTTTGAACTCGGTTCATGCTTTTAGTGAAATCTAGGATTTCACAGGACAAACTGGAATGAAACAAGAGAACACAATGATATGAGGATCTGGGGCGTTTGGTTAAAGTAAGATGCATGTTACAGTGGCGACACAAGTTCAGTTCCTCTTGTGCTGCCATAGCAGTCTGTTGCAAGAAGGCCCATGTTCTTTTGAGTGGGGAGGCTGCCTCTGTTCTCTCACTCTTCTGCAGCTATATCTGCTGTTGGCTGCGGGCCTACATAGCTGTGGATGGAATCAATTGAATATCACTCTGTGATCTTACAGCCTGTAGAGTGGAAATAACTGGGTTCCTGGCAGCACATGCTGTGATTGGCAGAAGTAGAGTGTTCATGTTAAAAAAAAAAATACAAATCCAGACCAAAATTTTGTAATTCAATTCAATTTAATTTGTATAGTGCCTTTTCACAACATTACATGGTCTCAGAGTGCTCTTCATTATCCCTGCCCAAAGTCCCCAGTGAACAAGCCAGAGGTGACAGTGGCAAGGAAAAACTCCCTAGAAGGAAGAAACCTTGGGAGGAACCAGACTCAAAGGAGGAGCCCATCCTCCTGGGACCGGCAGAGGAAATCAAATGGGCAAGATGGCAAAGTTCCAGTTCACACTGTCCCAATTTTAACATTTGAGTCTCAAAGCAGGGGGCAAGCAGATACTGGTGCTGCTTCTGATGGTAGGACGAACAGTGGTACAGCAGCAGGGCATGCAGGAGAGACGTCTCAGGCAGAAGGGCGAGCAGGCCAGAAAGACACCACAGGTAGTGGAGATGTCACAGGCAGCAGGGAAGGCAGAATACCTTGATAATTTTGGGTCTCCAGGCAGCACACCCCCGGAGGGGTAGGGGAAATAAAATGTGCAGTTAGCCAAAGTAGGGAAGACTAGAGGGAGTGCAAACAGGTTAGTGCAATATGTAAACTCCGGCAGATACGGCTATGGCAGCATAAGTAGGAGGGAGAGGCAGGTGGGAGCGCAGGTGGAGAATCGCTGAACGTCAGCACTGCAATTCCACGAGGGAGTTTGAAGCTAGAATGACAGCACTGGCAGTTCAGTCCATCCAAAGCCAATATGAGTATGAAGAGTCACAGCTACAGAGTACTCGACTGGTTGGCTGAAACAAAATCTTGGTCTGAATTTTTACTTTCAGGACCTGAACGATCCACCTCTGGGAGCAGGTGTGCTAGGGCTCACTGTCCTGTGTGGCTGTCATAGGAAACAGACCATTAATTGGCCAGGTCCAGGTTTAGATGAAAATATTTGGTTGACATTAAAGATATCTGGTTGTCTATCATGACTGGTTAGTTGGTTAATTTTCTCCCCCTTTCGCATTCATTTCATAATCTCAAATGGCTTTTCCATTACCTAAATGAGGCGTCTCAGATAGCTTTTTCTACTTCTCAGGTTGTAAATCCCTATTACCTGCGTGTACGAAGGAAGAACCCAGTGACGGGAATGCAGGCCAAGATGAGTTTGCAGCTCTACCAGGTGGACAGCAGGACCTACCTCCTTGACTTTCGTAGCATAGATGGTATGTTAAGTGTGTGGACCTTTTAAATCCCTCTGAGTTTTTGTTAAATGTGCATTCTATAAATAGGCACTACATTCCATAAGGAGTACGTTTAGAGGTTTCAGCAGTTAAGAACATAGTTTCAATTCACTTGTGCTCTTTCTAAATGTAAATAAGTAGGAGTCTAAAAATGGAGTTTTTTTCTGTTTATATTCTCTGATTTTAGGTATGTTTCTGTGGGCAAAATTTACAGTGTATTTGTCTTTTTGCTTTAGATGAAATTTTAGAGGCTAAATCGGGGACTGCCACTCCTCATCGCTCAGGCTCTGTTGGGAACTCCCGAACAACTCTAAAGAATGAGGCGGAGGCAGGAGAGGCCAAGGCAGGAGAGGCCAAGGCAGGAGAGGCCAAGGCAGGAGAGGCCAAGGCCGAAGTGGCCATCAAGGGATCAGACGGCTCTTTGGCGTCGTCTCTCACATCTTCTGTCGAATCCACTAGTGGAGAGACCTTTCCTAGACCTGGGAGTCACACTATAGAGTTCTTTGAGATGTGTGCGAATCTCATCAAGTTACTTGCACGATAGTTGTTGAGTTAGCCTTTGAGTGTCTTTAAGCAATAAGCATGCAACTGATTCATGGCTCACTTCATTCCATGTGGATGAGCTAGTTGTTCCATGGCACTGATGCAGTTTTGCCTCATAGGTCAGGCGAACTGTGGGTGGGAAAGATTTTGAATGATAATTGCTAAGCCACTTTATAGTTAAATTTTTTTTTTTTTTTTTTTTAAACCAATTGTTTTACATGTTACTTTATTATCTAGCTAAATGTCCCCAGAATGCATTTCAACATCCTAGTCATTTATTGTCAGCTTGATATGCTGAATTTGCTGAATTTGTATTACATTCAGTGATGCTGAATCCCTCATTTCTAGGTAAAAACAAGCAAATTGTTCTTCTAATATGCAAGAACAACTTTTGCACAGTTGTCCTGTACCTGCTGCTCAATTATCATATTAGATAATCCACCATTGCAGAATATGTACAATGAGTTGCACGTATCCTTTGAGAAATGATGAAAGCCGATTAAAAACACAGAGGAAGGATAGTCTTGCTCCTCTTTTTCAGGAAAAAGCTTGCATCTCCTGAAAATAATGATGTTCTTTGAATAATTTTAAGGATTTCCATGCCTCTGTATTTTTTGTAACAATTATGTTTTTTTGATTTACTCTGTCCCCTTCCCTTTTATATATAAAGAATAAAATTGATCTGGATATATTTATCAGTGCTTTAAATATATAGGTTATTTTGCAATCATTTTGTTGATGTTTTATTCCATGTCTCATATTCCAAAATCATTTTTAGTTTTTATTCCAGTCGCACTGTTATGTTTGTCAAACACTTAATTTAGTTTTCCAATTAAGTAGTTTTATTTTAATCAAAATAAATAAATGGCCAAACTATTCTGAGAGTTCTGTTTTAGAAATGTGGGGTCTCTGTTCCAGATCATGCTTAAGATTGCAGCTGTAGCAATACATGTTTTCTGTGTAAGTTTTGGACAAATCTGCTTGCATTCAATGTCAGTACTTTGGAAATTGGTGTGATATCACTGCTGTTTATACAGAGCTTATAAAGTCCAACTAATACCCTTTCCTGTTTTGAACAGGAATACTTGGGACTGAAGACCAAATATGAAACATTTTACATTGAGTCCTATAGTGAAAAATCCATTGGAATACTATCTGTCAGATTTGGTTATGGTCTGTTGCTTAGTGTAAGCTGGCAATTTGATTGACATTGATGATATATTATTATGGACCCTTAAATCTACATTGGTGGTCAGCAGACATTTGCAAATTGAGTGATACCAGATTTGTTACTTCTTTTCCATGTTTTATGTGTAACAATATTTTCATGCCTTTTGTCCTTGTGAAGAATAGCTTGTTTTTTGGATAAAATATGAGGGAAATCACAAAATCAGTTAAACTTATATTTGTTTTCTAATTATTTATTTAAATTCAATCATTTTCTCCCAAACAGTCCAGTTAATAATAGATAAATAAATAATATAACTGACAAAGTCTTTAGTCAGTCACAATCTCAGTTAATCAGCTGCCTTAATGTTAATACTGTTGATCAGTTTTATAATAGGAAGAGGTATTAAAGGCTGTGATCCATTTCCTTGTGGGGTCTGGTAGTAGGTTATCAGACCCAAGTATGCCATGAATACTGTGATGGCTGTTTGCAAAGCCACACCTACATGTCACACCAATGTGGTGTTTGCTGATGGAGAAAATGGGTTTGGCCTTGCATGCTGGCTGGCACAAATACCGTTGAAATGTCTGATTTTAACAGAAATTAAAGCATTCTAGTATTTGTAGCATAAAAAAATAATTGGTATGCTTTAAAGAAATAGAAGTTTACACAATTTTCTGTGCTGAACCCAGGTGTGGCGAGAGATGTTAGGCATTTTGGTATACAGTATGTAAAAGTGATCATTCTGGCTTCTAAAGACAGCTTGTAAAACTATGAATCTGTTTTTTCCGTATATTTTCATACTTTAAAATTTTATGTCAGTGTTGCAGGAAGATTAGATATTACACTGGGGGACAAATCACAAATGAATTACCTCTGCGTATGTGTCTTAACTGCTCTTAATCATTTTTCTTTTCTTTAAAGTGTAGTGGAGAGTGGAGTGGGACCCAACCAGATTGACCAATGTATTTTGACTTGACAGTGTTTAAAATAATATGTACACAGAACTGCCTAATAAATATGTAAATTGCACAACCTTGCCTAGTTTTATCCTATTTTCTATTTTTTTAATAATATTATTTTTAATATTACAGTCTGGAATTAAAGATCTAATTTCTGTCCTAGCCCAGTGCTTTCTGGTATTGGCTACAAGCTCACTGCAATTCTATACTGGATAAGTGGTTATGGGGGGTGTATACGAAAAAGGTGTGATAAAGAGAGCAGTAATTTGGTAACATATTCATGACTGATTCAGTAGTATTCATGGTATAATTGGACGAAAAACCGTGTAGAAATAGTACCCTGTGTCATGACGAGAGAGACGCTTTCCTTTATTATATCTGACATTCACAATACAAGCAAAGAGCAACTAACGCGATTCTGCTGGCCACCCAAGCACACACCCGCACCAAAGGGACGGAGTCAAATCGAATGCAGGCAACATTAATCGGTATATCTCAACAACAGGCATTGCTACATCTCACTTTTCTTAAGGAAAGAAAACAATAAAATGTTTTTTTTTTTTCCTCTTCAGTCTGCCTGGATGACATTTGCTCCCAACTATATAGCATGAAACAACTCTGCTCCCTTTATTATTATTATTGGTTTATTAACTTTAATTTACCTTAAAATAATTAACTATGACATTGGGTTAGATTGCCCTCTAGGACTTTCCACCATGGTTGTCAGATGTCTCAGCAGAGGGTGACGCTGGCACAACCTGAAGATGTCTCCTGTTCCGCTGAGCGACCCTACCACTGTATGTTCTGACCCAATAGGATCTTGGCTCAGGAGATTTGCCTAGAACCTTGACTGGTATTTTCCAGGCCTTCTTGTCTAGTTTCACCCATATGCTCTGACCAGGGTGCAGATCTGGCAAAGCTCGTGCAGAATGTCGGCACCTGTTCGTAGCTGATATGCTTAGGCTGCAGCTTCTCATCCAGTGTAAGGAGTGTTGTTCTGATCTGATGTCCAGTCATAAGCTGTGTTGGACTCACTCCTGTTGCACTAATGGGGGTTGCACGATAACACATCAGAGCAAGATGAGGATCTGGTTGCTTGAGGATATGCTTTGCAGTAAATCTGCCCCATCTTACAAACATGGACTTTAGTTGTGTAATGACCTGTTGGCTTGTGGTGGTGGGCAGGTGGGCTATTTCAATATTTCTGGAATAATACCACTCCAATAACTCCACTACAATAAGGTATTTTCTGCCCTCTATCTCGCACAGGTCGGCTGCGACCTTCTTCCATGGACCTTTATGGAGAGAGGTTGATTTGAGAGGTTCTCTTTTCTGTGTTAGTCTACGCTTGGCACAGAACATTCATGTCTTAACTATCTTGGCAATATCCGTACTTATGGCTGGCCACCAGACTGACATTCTGGCTCTTTCCTTGCACTTTGTCAACCCCTAGTGACCCTCATGTATCCGCTGAAACATTTCTGATGTGTGTGTGGCCGGGACAACGACCCTGCCTTGGTACGATACAAGGCCACAGGCCTCCGACAGGTGTGCCCTCGCTGTGCAGAATCCCTGCAACAATGGTGACTGTGCCATTCTTTTTGGCCAGCCTGACCTGCTGGAACTGATGCCCGTTTGGAGATCTGCATCATTACGTGTGGCCTCTCTAATGTCGTCTAGTCTATGAACTGACATTGGCCTACTCGTCACCACAGCCTCAACGGCCTCAACATCCTCCTCTGTGTTGGATGTCGTCTCGTCTCTCAGTGGGTTTCTGCTCAGTGTGTCAGCCACTGTTAGTCGCTTGCCTGGCACATGGACGGCTTTCACATTGAAACGCATGAGGCGCATCAACAGCTGGCACCTGAGTGGTGCTTTGTCTTGGTCATATGCATTGATCAGTGGAACCAGTGGCTTGTGATCTGTTTGTAAACAGAACCTATCCAAACCATCCAAGTAACAGGAAAATCACTCGCATGCCCAGACTCCTGCCAGGCACTCTTTTTCAATTTGTAAATATATTTTCTCTGCATCTGTTAATGTGTGTGGACAAAAGGCGAAGGGCTTAAGTTCACCTTCATGTGGCTGTAGCATGGCGGCTCCTAGGCCGTAGCTGCTTGCATCAGCACTGATGACTGTCAGTTTGCTGGCATCGTATTATGCAAGTACGGGTGCTGATACTAACATGGCTTTGACTCTGGCAACTGCCTGCTCTTGAGACTCACCCCAGGTCCAAACAGCCTCCTTCTTTAGTAGCTCTGTGATTGGATGTAGTGTGGTTGAGAGGGCTGGTAAGAATTTACCCAGGCAGTTGAGTCCCAGCACCTGCCTTAACTCACTGATATTCGTGAGACTTGGCATCTCACTTTGCTGGTATCTGGCTTTATCCCATCCTTTCCAATGATGTGTCCAAATTAGCAGATCTCTGACTTTCCAAAGTGGCATTTATCTTTATTGAGCCTAAGGCCAGAGTCTTTAATGGTCTGTAGTACTGCGCTCAGACGCTGGTTGTGTTCCTCCTCAGTTCGCCCATAGACTAGCACATTGTCCATCACAGCAACTGTGCCCTCGTAGTTCTTCAAGTGTGCTCATCTCCCGATGGAAAATCTCAGGAGCTGACGTTTTTCCAAATGGATGACGGCAGAAACAAAACCTTCCATCCGGCGTGATGAACATGGTCAGTTTTCTACAACTGGCTTCCAGTGGTATCTGCCAGAATCCACTGGAAGCATCCAATGTTGAAAAGACCCTCGCTCCAGCTAGCTTAGGGACTATGTCCTCCAAGGTTAGTAGAATGAACCTTTCTCACTTCACGGCCTCATTGAGTCTCTTTAGATCAACACATATTCTCACTTCTCCTGTCTTTTTGATCACTGGCACCATGGGCGCGCAGCAGTTGGTGGGCTCTGTAACCTCTTCAATAAAGCCCAGTGATTGCATGCATCTCAGTTCTTCCTCCACCTTAGGCAAAATGGGAAAGGTATTCTGTGAGGAGTAGCTAAACTATAAGGTATTGCATCTGACCTCAGCTCTATTTTAATGGGCTCACAGTTTAGCAGTCCAATATCACCAAAGATGTCTGTCTATTTGATCAACTCTCAACACTAAACCCATCCTGCATGCTACTGTTTTGCTGAGAAGATGGTTTGCATAAGGCCCTTTTATTACAAAAAACCAAAAGGTGTATCTATGTCCCTTGTTTTCGCTTGTGGCTAGAAATTTCCCCATACAGTCGATTCTGCCCCCTGGGCTACTTACGGCAGATCTAGTATTCACCAGCAGGGGGCGATGTGTTCTCGGACATCACTGTAACATCGGCACCAGTGTTTATTTTAAACTTTATCTTGTGGCCATTAACAAGGAGCACAACATACCATATCTCATCTGAGTCTGTCTGCTTAGTTAATGAACCCATAAAAAATGCCAATACATTTCCATCTCGGGCTCTTCTGTAACCTCTTTAACCATTTTTGTTTTGCACACGCGTTCAAAGTTACCCATTCTATTACATTTCTTGCATCTCTTATTGCGTGTAGGGCATATTGCATTATAGTTATGCAATCGTCCGCAACGTGCGCTTTTCCCCTGCTTGTTAGACTGCCGCTGCTGTATAACTCCATAACGGGCATCACTACACCCTAATTCAGGGGTTCCCAAACTTTTCAGCTCACGACCCCCAAAATAACAGACGTGCCAGTGACTCGTGACCCCCACCATCCTCGGAAGTGGTTAAAATACAAATGTTGCGCGCAACGGTGCACATGCATCCAAACATGAGCATGACAACACAAAAGAACACAACGCTCTAACAACCACATAACTTTTTTTTTATTGTTATTTACTCATTCGTTTCATTTCAACAAATATAATATCCTAAGCATAAAGCGATGAAAATTACCTACACGTTACGTGCACATGTCGGATTGTTTAACATGGTGCTGTAAATTCTGCTGCAACTGACGCTATTGATGTGTCGTTAATCTGTCGTAATCACCTCAGGGGTCGCGATCAAACGGAAAGAAATTTGAAAGGCTGATGGATTTTTAATTTGCATGTTTTTTTTAAATGTAACTATTAACTACTAGTTTTTATCTTTTGTTAGTTATGGATAAAATGTTAATATAAAATGTTAAAATGTTGATAAAATGTTATTTCTAATAGTTTAAAAAAATATTTGATTTCTTGGAAATCGTCTCACAACCCCCCAAAGGGTCGGGACCCCTACTTTGGGAACCACTGTCCTAATTAACACAAAATCATATCTGGCTTTTACTTTGAATTCGGGGTTGTCTGGGGTTGCCAACTCTCACGCATCTGGCGTGACGCTCACGCAAGAAATCTTACGGCAAATCTTTATAATCTATCAATTATAAACCTAAAACTAGCTACACCGAAATTTTTGCGGTAGTTTGCAAACCCTACAGACTATTTACAAAGTAATAATACTGTTACATGTAAATGCGTGTGCATGTGTGTGCCGAATTGTCCCCAATTGAAAACCTCAGTCCAGCTAGCTGGCCAAAGTTAATTGGCAGCCCTGGTATAAGTTACAGAAAATCACTGTCACAACACCCTAAAGCACACTATTGAAACTGCATGCGGCAGGGATGGGCTATTGATATTCATACCATTGATATTATTTTCGATCCGATACCGAGGTTGGCATAGCAGACACTGATCCCGATATTCGGGATCCTTGACGACAAGGCTGTCAAGCTTCATCATAAATTGGTGTGACATTGCATCAGTGGCAAAACGAGTGTCTGATGTTCAATGCGTGAAACTTTAGATTACCGCGTTCATCGGATCTTGCTCATTTCCACCTTTCATGCATTGCATCTGAATGCGCTTGCAGCGGAATCACACGTAACTGAGTTTAAAATTTACCCGGAAACAGCAAATGCTGTTTTCTGATTGGATGGTAGCTGGCTATTAACTCTGAATATCTCGGGACAGTTATGAACTCGGCGGAGACATCCACTCCGTATGCCTGCGCATCGTCCAATAATTCGATATAACAGAACACCTTAGTGGGCGTTATTCCATATGTTTCAGAGTGTGGTGTGTGAGCCCTGCTTGACGGTAAACATTTGCCGAACAGGGAGGAGGGGGGATGGAGCGAGGTGCTGGCTATAAAATTTATCCTGTGGTGCTCCCTAAAATAATAGAAACGTTTTTTAAAAATCGATATTTTAACCTTAGAATCGTTTCTCAAAATAAAACAATATAAAAAACATCGATATTTCAATACGACACCCTTATCTTACGTCGGTGACGTCAGGAAGCTCTAGCCAGTGTTTCCGGGTTGGAGAGCGCCTCCATGTTGTGAGTATGCTGGTGTGATGTTGTCGCGGCATGCGAAGCTGGTTTTCGTGGAATACTTCAACATATCCCAATAAAGTTAGCACCCTTTAAGAGAGCTGTATTTTAAAAGCCAAAGTGATTTTTTAAATTTACCTGTACCAGGCACAGAAGCAAAGCTGCCCGTATTGTACGCGGCGTTAGCCCGGTGTAGTCTGCATATTTTATGTTTACAATTTCCATTTTCGCCCTTTCGTTTAATACATGGTGATCCAGGCGTTGTACAAAAAGCTACATTTATTTGCATCAGTCCTGGAGTTTTAATGCTGTCATGTCGTTCTTGCACATGTAACGCTACAGGTTACTCCATATGCCAATGGCACCCCTAGCCAAGATAGCAATCCTATTTTTAAATAAGTTGGAGACTTCCTGATATGGAAATTCTACATTTAAGTAAAAGCTAAATGCGTGATGTAACTTTAAAGTGAACTAATTTAGGTTGTTTTAGCGAGCGAAAACCTTCAACAATGAAGAACTTCAAGAATTTTATTAGAGAAGGTTTGACGATACAATTTAAATATAGCTACAAGCGATTTAAGACTGAATTTCTTTTAGGACTGTCCTTTTAGCCACCGTTCAATTAAACATCTCGCGTTTAGCGAGAATTTATTTGAGAAATGTGTTAAGTTACTTAACGTCCGTTTTAAGTAGAATGTGTTGGAGTTTAAACTTGGGTCATATTGTTCTCTGTGAGCACAGTCTGGTAGTTAGTGATCTATATTACAATTGGTCCCCGAAGACTCCTGAGAATGTGATAAATCTTTCGTTTGACAGAATGGCCTCATTTGGCTGGAAACGGAAGGTGGGTGAGAAGGTCTCTAAGGCAGTAGTGCAGCATTTTGAGGCAGAATCTGAGGCATCTGCTGACGGCACGGATGGGGATGAGGTGGACTGGCTCCATGCGATCAAACGCCGCCGGGAGGTGCTGCTAGAAGACTGTGCTACAAAGAGCCAGAGGCTGAAGGAGGAAGGGTCCCTGCTGGCAGAGGAAGGCAGGTCAGTGAAAGTATGCTTGATGAAGATACTATCAAGTAGATGGTCTTGTAACCAACTTTTTTTGGGGCAGAGTACTGTGTATGAAGGAACTGTTTCATAAACCTTGCTTAAATACTGTTTTGTTAGTTTAGTAGTGTGTTAAGTGACTTGTGTTTATGTAATTTGGAAGATTTTTATATTCTTCCTGGGTCTAGGCTTTGAATCTCTATACATGTAGATTTTGCATGCTCTTCTTGTATCAGGTGCGTTTTTTCTTAGATGAGTAGATGGAGATGTTTAATCTAAAGTCAGTGCAAATAATGTGTACGTTATATAAGAGTGTCAGCAAAAGACCATAACACTTAAGCGCAGTATGCCTTATGCATCATTGCTATCTATTTGAGATAGTTAATTTGGGAAGCTTGTGTAATACACTTTAGGAACAATAGAACAATGACTTAGGAACTTTTCATCTGTAATGTCTTTTTTCTAAATCAGGTCCTAACCGTAGTTGCCATGGTTAGAAGTTAATATGGCCCCAGAGTGAAACAGACATGCAGTGAATCTCAATACCAAGAACACAAAGATTGTACTTGTGGTCTTGACAAGACCAGTCTTGCTAACTTGCCTTTCAAGAATGAACTTGTTGCACAGTGAATCATGGGATTGGTCTAGTTTGTGTCCTTAATATTGCAGAGCAAGATTAACATCTGGGGATTTATTACCATCCTCTGTACTTCTGTTCTTAGTTTTGGAACTGGTCTTCGACAGTGGAAGATGACATAAAATGGGTACAAAAGAGTAAAAATATGGTCAAGTATGCATATTGATATTCACCAGTGGTTCTGAATTAGAATTCAATCGACTGGACGAGATCAATGTCTTCTAAATTAGTTTGCAAAGAAACCAATTAGATGTTAGGTTTTGTTTAGAGCCCACCCACTGTGTTTGATGGATGACTTTGACAGATAATTTTCATAGTGGCTGGTATCATTTAAATGGTCATTTTAGTCATTTAAATATTTAAAATGATTATTTAAATTATTTATTTAATGAATAAATTGAGCATCCTGACCAGCAGCATCTCAATCTGGTATGGCAGCTGTAATGCCTCTGAGCAGAAGTCCCTTAATAGAGTAATGAGGACAGCAGAGAAAATGATCAGGACCCCCCTTTCATCTATTCACGAGATATACCAATCTCACTGCCTCAGCAAAGCGGTCAGGATTGCCAGGGATCCATCACATCCAGCCTACAGATGAATATAATGAAACATTTCCATAACACACACTAAAACATGTTTCCATATTTACTATACTCTGCTGCTACTACCTATTAGTAATCTGCACTTGCACTCTCTGCTATAATACGGCAAATGTGAGACACTGCAATATTTGACTCTGTGCAATAATTTGACTGTGCAATATTTAACTGTGCAATATTTTGACTTGCAAATTTTAACTTTGAGCACTATTTACTATGCACGAGATTTACCTCTGTGCTGAATAGTAGTTCTCCGTGTAGTTATGTTCTCTGTGTAGTTGTGTTGTATTGTGTGTATTATGTGTAGCCTGTAGTATTTCTGTTTGTTTTGCACATTGAGCCAGAAGAAAAATGCAATTTCGTTCTACCATGCACTCTCAAACTGTGTGGTACGAATGACAATAAAGTTTACTTTGACTTTGACTTGAATATTGTCACAAAATACCCTACATAGAATTTTGTCCTATAATGGAATTCATGGAATGGTTATTCAGCTATTTCGTGAAATAAATGCATTAGACATTTTAGATGTAAAATGTTTGTATTAGGGATGTTAGCCATCACTGCCCACTAACTAATTAGTAGTGGGCAAAGTTTGCCATGACCTGGATTCAAACTGAGGTTGTTGTGGCAACAATGCAAAGTACAAACCACTATACGGTCACAGCAAGCCACCCACCACTGCATAATGTTTGATTGTTTTATTGCATTGGTAATATAACTACCTGGTACTCGAACCTAGGACCTCTTGTACCAGAGGCAAAAATCATACCCATGCACTTTTGGAATAAAGTGCTATAATAAAAATACAGACTGCAACATCTAGCATTTTAAAATCATTGAATTACAGCTTGTATTGCAAGTCATATTTTTGTCGAAAATGAATAATCTGTTCAATAGAAGATTAAATTACACTGTTAAATATTAAATATGCTTTCTGTTAATTCTACAATAATCTGGGGATTCGATGTGTAAATATTTATGACTAAGTTTTAATGATAGGTGCGATTAATCGTGATTAATGACAACGTTGGTTAATTTTTAAGTAAAAAAAACATTTAAAAAGCTAAACACCCAAACGGAAAATAAACCAGATTGTATAGGCTAAACTAGCATTATAGAACATAAATTAGCCGTACTATTATAACTAGCCTAACAAAAACTGATTTTGTAACAATACTTCATTTAGCTCACCCATCTATTTTCTATACCCTATGCAGGGTCACAGGGTTCAGGAGCCTATCCCAGAAGCTATGGGAACATGGCAGGGAATAACCCAAGATGGGGCACCAACCCATCGCAGGGCACACGCACCATTCACACACACAGGGCAGATCGGTAACTCCAGTTAACCATAGCATGTTTTTGAGCTCTGGGGGGAAACCACAATGACATGGGGAGACACGCCACACACGTAGGGCTCGAACCCTGGTCCCAGCGATGCATTTTATGTCAGTACTTTGCAAGGCTGGTGTTTCATGAGTGTTCACAGCATTGTAAAGCTGTTTTAATACGTTATAATGTTCTAAAGTTATTTACAAGTTTTACATATGCTCTCTCTTTTTTTTTTAAGATAAAAAGTAGCACTGTATTGAGGTTTTTTTCCCCTCATAGCACATGAAATACTTTTTAAATGCTGCCTTTCGTCTGCAGGAAAAAGTCACCAGTAGTTTTTTGGTGCACTACTTTGGTCAGGTATGCATTGTAACCACAATAGTTCTTGTAAATGCTGCAAGGGTCTGAGTTTGTCTGTAACCAAGGTTAAGCATTCACAGGAAAAGAGTTCTTTCTTATGTTAATATTCATATTGTCCTTTTCACATAATTTATTCCTATATGGAAAGGAAAGTTCTCATGGTGTTCTTCCAGGAGGGGGAGCCAGTGATAGTGATGTATTCAAGAATTCACAATGGTGTTTTAGAAAACTTTTTTAATTCTATATTTATATATTTTAAGCCATCAGCATTATCAGCATTTTTGTTCAAATGATTTTTCAATGAAGATTAAGTATTTTAAGGTTTTTAGTCTATCAGTAGTGTGCAGTTCCACCAGATGCCTTAATATGTCTGCATGACAGTTTTCTTCCTTATTTTTTGTTGTAATATTCTGCGTGAAAAATCTTGCCTGTGGTTCTGTATTTAATCACAGGTTCTTTTTTTGATAACATTGTCATATGTGGCTCTGTGTAGGAGCTGCCCGTCAGTAGTATTTTAAAACAGTAAGTGATTTTATTTATTACTGTTATGAATTTGTCATTTTATACTTCAGTCCACTGACTGGGAAATCACTTTGAGTTACTATAAAATTAGCATAACGCCATCCATCCATACATACATTTTCTGAAACTGCTTATCGTGTTCCATGTCATGGGGGAGCACACTCACACATGCGCACACTCACCCATGTGCACACTCACACACCTATGGGCAATTTCGCAACCTGAATTAGTCTCAGCATGATTTTGGACTGTGAGAGTAAACCGGAGTACCCGGTGGAAATTCCACAGCAACACAGGGAGAACATGCAAACCCCACCCACGGAACCCTGGCAGATACTCAAACCCTAGTTCCAGACGTGTGAGGCAACAGTGCTAACCACGTGCCCCCCCCCCAAAAAAAAAAAAATTGCCATAATGTAAAAAAAAATATATATATATAATAATTTCAACATTTTAGTAATTTATTCCTTTTGAAAATGTCATTACTCTTACAAACACAAACAAACGTGTGTTTTCCGCAGCAGTATGATGGAATGTCACCTGTATTACAGCTAATCTGTCATGGTCTAAATTGAATCGAGGCCAGCAGTGACAGATCGGTGCTTCACTGCCTTGCATGTTTTGTCGCGTGCGTTTCCTGTTTATCTCCATTTCCCCTTGCGGTGGAGAGAATCTTAAGGTGTTGCCTGTTAGTGTGTACATTCAAAGTGTGGGTGTCTTGCAGTAGACTGGCCTTAGGTTCAGGGTGTGCCCCAGTCCTGCAGCCTATGCTGCTTGTGGCTCCGCCTCCTCCGTGACCCTATCCAATTGTGATTGGAGAGTGGATGGATGTGTGGGTGGATGGGTAAAGTCACCAGGTTATCTTTTGTATTTATAGAATATAGGATGGTTTATTTCTGCAGTTCATTTCTAATTTTTAATTTAGCTTTTAGTTTCAGATGTCCTGCCTTGTGAAGTGCATTTGTACATTTATTACTAGGTTGGGGTGTCCCTGGATTTGACGACTGTCATTCAAGAAAACATTTAATGTTTTGTAAAAATAATTTTTCTGCTTCCATTAATCTAGGCTGCAATATACACTGAAATGCTGAAATAAAGATTTAAGGGGATGTTTTGATAAAGATAAAACTACTCACAGCAAAGATCATTGTATTTTTTTTCTATTTTATGGTCATGATGAATGACTAGGTATTTAAAATTGAATAGCTACATTTTAAAAATTCTGGTATAAGTGAAGTTTGAAAATTGTACTGTAAATAGCATATACTGCAGTTGATAGTTTCTCTGAGGGTCCCCATTTTGACCAACCCTACAAATTGTTCTTCAATAATTGCCAAGAAACAAGCAAGCTGTGTACGTGTTCGTTCTGCATCAGCGTGTCTCTGTCACGTTTTATAGAACTGGATCTGTTTCCTTTTGGCTTTGATGGGTATTTGTCATTTTAGCTAATTTAATCATAAGGTTCACAGTTTGCTTTATGGATGCCTGTTACCTAAATGATTATACATAATAACATTTTCTGGTATTAAATGAATTCCAAT